TCTTTCCGGAAAATAATTTAATTTTCTTTCAAAATTTTAAGGATTTTAAGGATTTTAAGAAATTTAAAAGGCCTTAAATTCCTTAAAATCCTTAAAATTTTGAAAGGCCCGGGCTTTCAAAATTTTAAGGATTTTAAGGATTTTAAGGATTTTTAAAATTTTAAATGGGCCTGCCTCTTTCCGGAAAATAATTTAATTTTCTTTCAAAATTTTAAGGATTTTAAGGATTTTAAGAATTTAAAATGCCTTAAATTCCTTAAAATCCTTAAAATATTGAAAGGTCCGGGCTTTCAAAATTTTAAGGGTTTTCAGGATTTTAAGGATTTTAAAATTTTAAATGGGCCTGACTTTTCCGGAAAATACATTCATTTTTCCAATAGTTTTACTGAGTTTAATTTTTTTTTTATTTAAATGGGCCTGACCCTTTCTGGAAAATACTTGAATATTAGTTTACAATTTGATAGATTTTCAGGAAACTAGGGGCATTTCAATATTTGGAAAGGCCATGAAGTTCCATGGGTACGTTATATTTTTGGATTTTTGTTTGTAATTTTTAGCAAATAAACCATTTAAGTTTTTTTTTTTTTTGCAATTTTCCTGAAATTCTGAAAGCCTAGGCACAAGAAAAATAAAAAAACAGCAACACAAATACTCATTTAAAATATTTAAATGCGCTTCTTAGTCCTTTTAAAAAAGAACATTTTGTTTTGTTAATTCATAAGGCTTGTAAAAAAAGCCGGGGGTCCGGGGACGAGCGTTAACAAAAGCATTCCCCTTGAATATTTCTCCCGCGAAACTTTTCTCCCGCGAATTTTGGCGGGAGAAATTCCCGCGAGCTCTCCCTTGAGTTTTTCTGGTTTTCCCGTGGTTTCCCTTTGATGTTTTTTTTGGTTTCCCTTCAGTTTCCCGTGAGAGTCAAATCTTCCTTTTACTGTTCCCTTGGACTTCCCTTTGAACTTCCCTTGGTTTTCCCTCGGATCCCCTTCGAAATTAAAACGTATCCCGCGAGAAATCTCGCAAGACTTAAAAATAAGGGCTTCCTTTTCCCACGGGATTTCCCGCGAAGCAGGCCGTCGGCCCCGAGCTGTGGCTGTAGTCTGCAGGCCCCCGAGCTCTCTGACTGTAGAGTCTCCAGGCCCCCGGGCTCGCTGTAGTCACCAGGGTCCCGGGCTGCCTGGCTGTAGTCTGCAGGGCCCCGAGCTCTCTGACTGTAGAGTCTCCAGGCCCCCGGGCTCGCTGTAGTCACCAGGGTCCCGGGCTGTCTGGCTGTAGTCTGCAGGCCCCCGAGCTCTCTGACTGTAGTCTCCAGGCCCCCGGTCTCTCTCGCTGTAGTCACCAGGCCTCCGGGCTGTCTGGCTGTAGTCTGCAGGCCCCCGAGCTCTCTGACTGTAGTCTCCAGCCCCCCGGGCTCTCGTGCTTGCTTGGGTTTATATTGTTTTTTACTTAATTAGATTGACTTAAGTAATTTAAATAATTTAAAGAATTTAAGTATCGAAATTTATTTAAATAATTAAATAACATAAATATGACGGGCAGGTTTCGGATTTAAATTACTTAAGTTATTTAATTCGGCCTGGAATTAAATAATGTGAATAATTTGTAAATAATATCAACAATTTACATAATTTAAATAATTGAAATAGTTTAAATAATTTAAATATTCTAAATAATTTAAATAATTTAAATCCGAAAAGGGGGGGACCACCCCCCCCCCCTTGCCCCCTAAGACTTAAATAATTCAAATAACTTAAATCCGAAACCTCCCCGTCGTATTTACACTTTTTAAATTATTTAATTCTGGGGAGGGGGGGTGGTCCCCCCCCCCTTTCGGATTTAAATCATTTTTCATTATTTAAACTATTTAAATTCTTTAAATCGCCTGGGAATCAAATAATTTAAATTTGAATATGACGGGCAGGTTTCGGATTTAAAATATTTAAATTATCTAATTCGGCCGGGATTTAAATAATTTAAATAATTTAAACAATTATTTAAGGCTTCGAACGGATTTAAATTATTTACAATAATTTCAATAATTTCAATAATTTAAATCCGAAAAGGGGGGGGGGCCACCCGCTGCCCCCTAAGGATTAAACAATTTAAATAATTTAAATCCGAAACCTCCCCGTCTTATTTAAATTATTTAATTATTTAATTCTGGGGAGGGGGGGTGGTCCCCCCCCCCCCTTTCGGATTTAAATTTTTAAAATTATTAGATTGTTTAAAATATTTGAATTATTTAAATTATGGCACGGCTCTACTGACACATATTCCGCGGAAAGATTGTCATGTTTTTGGTGAAATTTACGAACACTTACCCCCCGATAAGCAAGATCTTGGAACCACTCCGCGTACTCAGCCTTTAAGAGTTTAAGGGGGTTTCAAATTCAGGGATACTTATATTTGCTCCTTTAAACTTACGAACACTTACCCCCCGATAAGCAAGACTTGGAACCTGCAGACAACAACAAACAGGTCTGTCGCAAAACCGCGACCATTGATACATACCCCCTGTAACGGGGTATGTCGCGTATGTGGGCCGCGGCCCGGTTACAAGCAATTAATATTGGCACGCGGCCATTTGTTTGCAAGAAACAGGGGTCTGCATACCGCAGCAAAACATAAACACATGATGACGATGCGAACAACTGACTAGATGATGAAGATGATGAGGATGAACAAGATCAAGGAGCTGATGAAGATGATGAAGATGATGAAGATGATGATGCTGCTGGGAAAGCTTTATGCAATTGATGCAGTGAAGTTATGCCAGTACAATGAAAGGACTCATGCAGATGAAGAGTGTGATGACAATGATGATAGAGCTTTGCGCTTTATTTTGTCACCCCGTCTCCTTGCTTCCTGTCTCTTCTCTTCTTTCCAGTACCCTTCCAGAAAAATGGCATCCTTGTTCTCTCGCCTCTCTCACTTCCCTTTCCCTTCTCTCTTTCTGTTACTTTTTGACTGATGAACAACAAGAAAGAAACTTGCAGGATAAAACAGTGGCAGGGTAAGCAGAGGTTGCGCGTGGACCTTGCCGTACTTCATCATATCCCTCTTCTCGGCCCATCTCTTCTGCTCTTTTCCTTACTCTTCTCCTTTTCATTATTATTCCTCTTTAGTTGTTCTTATCTGGAAAAGAAAGAGGGAAGGGAGAGATAAGGGAGGGAGGATAGATAAAGAAGAGTGCCATCTTCTCTGCGCCTTGTTTTGTCTCTCCCCTTTCTCTATTCATCTCTCTTCTATTCTTTTCTTTGCTGTTCTATTGAAATTGGATTCCCTGTATCTCTCCTCTGTCCTTCTCTCTCGCTCCTCTTCTCCTGTTCCCCTCTAAACGATTGCTCTTTACAGATAGGTGCCCTCCCTCCTCTTCAGGAAATCTCTTTTCGCTTATTTTGCTTTTTGAAGCGAATAAAACAACGGATAAGAGAGGAAAGGGAATGACTAAGTAAAGACAGGAGCTCTTCAATAGGTGCCCTCCCTCCTCTTCAGGAAATCTCTTTTCCCTTATTTTGCTTTTTGAAGCGAAGAAAACAACAGATAAGAAGAGAGGAAAGGGAATGACTAAGTAAAGAGAGGAGCTCTTCAATTTCCCTCCCTATATCTGATGTTACTTTTCCTTCTTGGGCGGTGCCCTTCTTTCTCCCTTGAAGATGCAGAAAACGATCAGGAAGGACACCCGTTCCATCGCCCATATATAGACAGAGATAAATCATGAGCATCAGCTGGGTTTGCTGCCGATCCAAAATGGGCGTCCCTTTTAATCGCTTTCTGTGTCTTGAAACGAGCAAAAGGGGCACCCTTACTAAGTGTTTTCTTGTGGTGTCCCTTTTCTTCGCTTGAAGATGCAGAAAACGATCCAAAAAGGACACCCGTTCCATCGCCCATATATGGGGAGAGAGATAAATCATGAGCATCAGCTGGGTTTGCTGCCAATCCAAAATGGGCGCCCCTTTTAATCGCTTGCTGTGTCTTCAAATGTCAAGAGTAGAAGCCTATTCAAGACAGCCTTGCATGTGTGCATGCAGGAAGATGACAGTGCTGCATTCGCAGCCCCCCAGCCAAGCTCAGACCAGTGACAGCAGTTCAAAAGGTCTGTGTGCTAGTGTGGTTGTTAACGGTTCATAAGTCCTCTTCAGCCCGCGCCTGCTTTTGCATGGTAGCGGAGCGGCTCTGACCCAGGGAGCTGCTCGGACAAGGAGGTTGCCTTCGAGGCACCCCTTGCAGCCAGGTGGTTGCGCCCTGCGCACCCCTGGCAGCCTGTGGTCAACACGGGCAAGGGCTGGGGCAAACCCAGGGCAAGAAAGGACCAGGCCGGTCAAGGTCTGAAAGGCAGGGCCAGAGAGCCCAAGGAGATCGTGGACGAGATCGCCCTGCTGGTGAGCCGGACCAGCAGATCCAGGCAAAGGCAAAGAAGAGGCCGAACAAGCAGAAAAGGAGAGGAGGAAGATCGGACAAGGCCTTGTTGAGGAGAAGCCACCAAGGCTTTAGCGAAGCAGCAGAGGAGTTAGTGACGAGGACAGCCCAGGCAAAGCCGAAACCAAAGAAGCGGTACAGGCTGAGGATCGCCCCGAAGATCGAGAGGTTGAGGGAAGAGTGGCCCCGGCTTAGCTTCAGTGAAAGGACTGCTCGAAAGACAGAACTTCGCAAGTCGGGTCTTATCCCGCCTGGGTCCGTTGGAGAACACATCGTCCGGGAGTTTGCGGAGGCTTGCGACACTTGCGACGAGCGAACAAAGAAGCAGCGTGAGCCAACTCTCCTTGCAGCCAGTCGGGCTGTGAAGAGGCAGATCCGTGCGCTTCGTCTGAGGAAAGAGGAGAAGAAGGAAAAGAAGAATAGAAGAAAGAAGCGGCAGCCACTTCTCACCGAGGACGAGGCGGACGACGAAGGCCAGGGTGACGAGGAGTCGGATCCTGACGGTGATCACCGTTCTCTTGGTGGTCGCCATGGAGGCTTTGATCCAGGAGCTCCGGGCACAGTTGCAGCAGTCAGGTGAAGCCATGGCTGCAATGCAACAGCAGATGCTGGTGCAAGGCCAGCAGCTGCAGGAGCTACGGGAAGCTCAGGCCGCCAGTTCAAGTGTGGCCCAGGCACCAGTGAGCCCACCGGCCCAGGTTGCTGCTACAGCGCCGGGTCAGGGAGGTGTCTTTGGGCTGCTCCCCTTGGTGGACACAAGAGGGCTCGGAAAGCCTGAGGTGTTTAAAGGAGATCCAGCAACCTTCAACGACTGGGTCTTCATCCTTCGGAGCTACATGGGGGCGATGGACAGGAGGTACCAAGCCTTACTCCAGAAGGCCGAGTCGTCGGAAATCCAACTTTGGAACCGACTTCTCACTGAGGAGGAGCAAGGGCTGTCGACTCAGCTCTACTACGTCCTGGTGATGCTCTGCAGGGGACGTGCGCTGGACAAGCTGCACAACTGTGGGGACAATGAAGGTGTCGAGGCCTATCGGCAGCTCTACCTGGAGTACAACCCGAAGCTCAACTCCAGATATGTGGGTCTGCTCCTGGAGATCCTGCGCTACAAGTTCGAAGGGGATTTGGTCAGTTGCATCGAGTCCTTTGAGCGCAAGGTGAGGGAGTACGAGAAGCAGTCTGGGAAGGACGTGGACGACGAAACCGTCATCGGGATTGTCATTCTGGGAGTGGAAGACCAGACGGTCAAGGAGCACCTCATTAGGCACTCATCCAGGCTTGACACCTGGAAGAAGATGAGAGCGGAGATCATGGAGATTGCCCGCACGCAGAAGTACTTGCAAAGCACGCCTCAACCGATGGACGTAGGAGGCCTACCAAAGAAGCCGCATAAGGGTTCCCCGAAGGGCGCCAAGGGTGATGGAAAAGGCGACAAGGGCAAGAGCACCGGCAAGGACGCTGGCGGAAAGAAGGGTGGAGACAAAGGAGGCAAGGGCGACAAGAAGAAGGGCCCGTGCTTCTACTGTCAGAAACCCGGCCACACAAAGGCCGAGTGCAGGAAGCGAGCCGCGGACTTGAAAAAGGCCGAGAACAAAGGTAGGACGGCTGCAGCAGCCCCGGAAACCCAAGAGGAGCCCGAAAGTGAAGGCCTAGCAGCCTCAACCTTGTGTGTTGCAACTGTAGCAAACCCTGAAACCCACTGTAGGATCCTTGTAGACACGGGGGCTGGGGGTGGTTTGGCTCCGGTTGGCTTTGACAACAAGGCCGTTGAGGTTGCAGGTGACAGGGTCCGCATGAACACGGTCACGGGAGAAGCCTTGGAATTGGGTAAGTGCAAGACTTCGTCGCTCAAGCATGGGGATGTGCCAGTTGAGTTTAACTACAGGGAAAGCAACAGCGTCCAGTTTCCTGTTATCTCCATGTCAGAAGCCAGTCAGAAGGGAACCTGGTTGGTGGTAGGGCCCTCGCACCAATTCCTCGTAGGTCGCTGTGGTGGTGAGCAACTCAAGAAAGCTTTGAAGGAAGTCCCAAAAGTTCCTTTAGTGAAGGATAAAGGTGTCTACTGGTTGGAAGCGACTATGGGTAAGCCCCAGAACCCTGAAAGGCATAGGATCGCAGCTCCAACAGCTCGGGAAGCCAGACCGGAGGTAGCGGATAGCGCCCCGGGAGTGGAGGTAGCTGACAGCGCCCCACCTGCCCAGGTGGATGCGAGGCCTCTTGGCGACGCTCCCCTGGAAGAGCCGCCTGAACCTGAAGGAGAGGCCGGGCGTAAGGCTAAGCACAAGAAGGTACCCCCGAGTGTCAGTGCTGAGATGCGTGCTGAACACGAGTTAACACACCTTCCATTTCGGAGTTGGTGTGAGTCTTGCGTGGTGGGGAAGGGCACCGAAGACTTCCATCAAAGGCGCCAAGAAGAAAAGAAAGAGGACGTAGCAAGGTACTGTATCGACTACTGCTTCTTCACGAAAGCCTTGTCCCAGGAAGCAGCTTCCACTGACGCCAAGGACATCCTCGAGGCCAAAGCTGGTGCCAAGGCCGTTTTGGTTTGCAGGGACCAAAAGTCAGGGGCTCTGTTTACGGGTGTAGCTAACAGCAAGGGCACCGGGGATCCGTATTCCATGGCTTTTGCGCTAGAAGGGATGAAGTTCTGTGGTCACCCAGACATGATAGTTGTTAGCGATACTGAGCCAGCTATCAAAAGTTTAGGTGAAGAACTTGTTAAGAGGTACCCCAAGAAAGCAAGCAGTCAACCAGTGCCCAAAGGAGACCACAAGGCCAACGGTGCAGCTGAGCGAGCTGTGCTGGAACTTAGCATGACGGTCGTACAGCCTACGAGAGGCTTCGGGGTAGGACCTACAAGGGCGAAGTTGTTGAGTTTGGAGAGGTCGTTCTGTTCCGTATTTCGAATCAGAACTTAAGAAAGCTTGAGGATCGTTGGTCATGTGGGGTTTGGCTAGGCAAAAGTTTGAGCAACGATGAGCACTTCGTGGCAACAGCCAACGGCATCCAGAGGTGTCGCTCGGTTCGTAGGCGAGTTGAGGCCAAGCGCTTTGACCCCACGTTTGTTCTGAGGATGGTAGGCACACCTTGGCAGCCTCGAGGCACGCCAGAAAGGACCCCCGATGCTCCGGGAAGACCCTTGCCAGCTGGAAGGTTGGAGGGTGTAGTGCCTAAACCTCGTGGTGTGTACATCACGGTTGAAAGACAGATCAAGCATGGTAGGACACCAGGCTGCCCTGGGTGCGATACCTCTTACGGTGACGCCCCAGTCAAGCACAATGCCACGTGCAGAGCCAGGTTTGAAAAGCTGTGCAGGGAACCTGTGGTTGCGGAAACAGCGCCCGGGGACGACACAGTTGAGCCATCAAGCAATGGAGGGGATGATCCGATGGGTGCCGGCCCTGGCCCCTCGGATAAGCAGGCAAGTTCAGAGGCCGCGGGTAGTCGCGCCTCTGGGTCTGGCTCGGTGGCTGCCGGTTCTGGCGCCCCGAGTGAAAGAAAGCGAGGTGGGTTGGACCTTAGCGACAGCCCCCTCAAGGAGGCCAGGACCTCGGAACCTGCTCGGGCCTCAGACAGCCCAAGGTCCCCTAGCAGAAAGCGTGAAGCGGAAGGCAAAACGGAGGAGGTTGAAGAAGAAATGGTGGCAGGATTGCCAACAATGCACGTGGCGGCCATGGTGATCAGTGACAGAATGATCGCATCAGCAGCGAAGGAGCTCGAGAAACCGGTCTACGATGAGAAGACTGGAAAGTTGCTGGACCCCGAGAAGGTGAAGATCGGGAGGATGAAAGAGATGACCAAGATGGAGTCCTTTGGAGTCAAAGGCGACATCACATATGATGAAGCCAAGGCGAAGGGGCTCAGACTGGTGAAATCCAGGTGGATCGACACCGAGAAGGAGATCGAAGGGAAGCCTGGAGTCAGGAGTCGCTTGGTCGCTCAGGAAGTGAACACTTACAAGCGAGAAGATGTATCGATGGGAACGCCTCCCATTCGAGTGCATCGAGCTGTGATTTCGCACGCAGCCACAGCGAGGCCCGGTGAGAGCAAGAGCAAGAAGCTGATCGGAAGATATGATGTGAGCGTGGCCTTCTTCCACGCCGACAACAGCGAAAAGATTGGGGTAATACCCCCGGCGTCAGAAGGAACTCCCAACATCATCTGGGAGTTGCACAAGGCGATGAACGGAACCCGGGAAGCCTCTAGGCAATGGGGAGTGAAGATCCGTGAGGTGAAAACAAGACACAATTTCGACGAGCTGCTGTTGTGCCCCAACACCTACTACTTGAAAGAGCATGATCTATGCTTGTCGTGCCACGGTGACGATTTCCTGGCGAGTGGAGAAAGAGAAGCTCTCGACATGCTGGACAAGATCATGGAGGAGAACTACGAGGTGAAAGTGCTACCGAGAATCGGTGACCCAGCTCATGGAGGGGAAGTCTCAGAAGGACGCCATCTTGGGCGCCTGATCAAGTGGACAGGCTCAGGATTTACCTGGGAATGCGACCCCAAGTTTGCCCCACAAGTCATCGAGGAACTCGAGCTAAAAGGGTGCAAAGGAGTTGACACTCCTGCTTCGAAGGCCACAGGCGTGGGAAACAGAGAAGTGGAGAAGGAGCTCAGCCGTGAGAGGGCCGAGGTCTTCAGACGAGTGACTGGCACCATCCTTTACATGGCAGTCGACCGTCCCTCGTTGCAGTACGCAGCAAGTGAACTGGCTGAAGGGATGAGCAAGCCCTTGGAGATTCATTGGCTAAGGCTGAAGCGCGTCGGAAAGTACATTGCCAAGTACCCCGTCGAGAAATGGCACTTCGAATTGCAAGAAGCACCTGCGCAGCTAGAGTCCTTTTCAGACTCAGACTGGGCAACAGATCGCAGAACCAGAAGGTCTATGAGTTCCACGTATCAGAGGTTTGGGAAGCACCTCCTAGACACGAGCTGTGGTCGACAAAGTCTCGTGGCCCTATCGTCGGGCGAGGCCGAGTTCTATGCCATGGTCAAGACAGCAGCAGAAGGAAAGCTTACAACAGAGATCCTCCGACACTTTGGTTGGAAGGTCGAGCACCGAGTGCTGAGCGATAGCTCGGCCGCCAGGTCGATGGCACAGAGGGTAGGGTGTGGAAAAGTCAAGCACTTATCCCTGAAGGAGATGTGGATACAGCAAGCAGTTCGAAACAAAGAACTTTCCATAGGCAAAGTGGATACGCTCATGAACATCTCGGATCTTGGCACGAAGGCTTTAGAAGCAGCCAGAATGGACTCGCTGATGAAGCAGCTGCCCTTGGAAAGGGGCATCGTGGCAGCTGTGGTCAGCTGCTGTTTGGAGAAAGTCCAAGCAGCTCCAGTTCAGAGTGAAGAGGTCTGGTGGTTGAACCTTTACTTAGGGTTGGTTCACCTGTTGGCCTTGGTTGGGTTGCTGTTTGCCAGCTACAAGGGAGTTGAAGTGCTTTTGAAAGGTTGGCACTGGTTGTGTGGAAGGGGCAATAGGCCCAGTGTAGCGCAGTCCAGTGCAGCCATGGCACTCAGTCGTCGTGACACTCCTCGTGGCAGCGGTGCTGAGGAGGCTCAACACAGTGCAGAGGTTCCTACAACACGGATGCCATCTGTCCCCGAGGGAACCTCCGTGCTGAGATCCCCTGCTGGACAGAGTGACAGTGACAGGATGAGTTTCCGTGGTGACGCCAGAACTGGTGTCGACGATCGAGTCAGAGTGGTGAGAGATACCTTGAGCCTGCTCACGGTGGAAGAACTCAAGAGTGGCCTACGAGTGGAAGGGCTCCAGGTGACAGGGTTGAAGCAAGACCTGATGGAGCGACTTCTGCACAAGTTCGATGGTGGAGATGAATCGCTGTCGGACCGGCCAAGCACCAAGCAGCTGAGGTATGTGCTCTACATCCATCGTCATCGAGCCCAATGCCGAATTCAGTATGAGAATCTTCGGACTCGTGAAGAGACTTCGAAGTGGATCGCCAACTGGAAGGTCTGAGTGGATCTCGACCTAGGTTGAAGGCCAGTGACCCTCTACGTGAGACGGGCTGGCAACTGCGTGACTCCTGGGAACAGTGAGCCGAAGCTGGGAGTGAGACAGCATGAATAGGCAGGTCCAGTAGCAACAGGCCAAGGTACCTGGCCAGTTCCTCCTGTGGAGGGGTGTCAAGAGTAGAAGCCTATTCAAGACAGCCTTGCATGTGTGCATGCAGGAAGATGACAGTGCTGCATTCGCAGCCCCTTTCCCAGCCAAGCTCAGACCAGTGACAGCAGTTCAAAAGGTCTGTGTGCTAGTGTGGTTGTTAACGGTTCATAAGTCCTCTTCAGCCCGCGCCTGCTTTTGCATCAAACGAGCAAAAGGGACACCCTAAGTGTTTTCTTGTGGTGTCCCTTTTCTTCGCTTGAAGATGCAGAAAACGATCTAAAATGACACCTGTTCCATCGCCCATATATAGAGAGAGAGAGAGAAAAAAAAATAATCATGAGCATCAGCTGGGTTGGCTGCCAATCCAAAACGGGCGTCCCTTTTAATCGCTTTCTGTGTCTTCAAACGAGCAAAAGGGACACCCTAAGTGCTTTCTTGTGGGGTGTCCCTTTTCCTCGCTTGAAGATGCAGAAAACGATCAAAACAGGACACCCATTCCATCGCCCATAGAGAGAGAGAGAGAGAGAGAGAGAGAGAGAGAGAGAGAGAGAGAGAGAGAGAGAGAGAGAGAGAGAGAGAGAGATAGAGAGAGAGAGAAAGAATCATGAGCATCAGCTGGGTTGGCTGCCAATCCAAAATGGACGTCCCTTTTAATCGCTTTCTGTGTCTTCAAACGAGCAAAAGGGACACCCTAAGTGCTTTCTTGTGGGGTGTCCCTTTTCCTCGCTTGAAGATGCAGAAAACGATCAAAAAGGACACCCATTCCATCGCCCATATATAGAGAGAGAGAGAGAGAGAAAAAAAATCATGAGCATCAGCTGGGTTGGCTGCCAATCCAAAATGGACGTCCCTTTTAATCGCTTTCTGTGTCTTCAAACGAACAAAAGAAAACACTTAGGTTCCTCACTTGAAGATGCAGGAAACGGCCCAACAAGGACACCCGTTCCATCGCCCATATATGGAGAGAGAGAGAGAGGGAGAAAGGAAAAAATCATGAGCATCAGCTGGGTTTGCTTACATGTTCATTGTTATTCCTTTTGTTTTTTCTAACGGAAATGAACAAGAGAAGAGAAAAATAAGAACCAGAGGAAAGATGAAAACGAGCACCATCTTCTCTTTGCCTGATTTTTGCATTTCGCCTGTCCTCATTTCTCTTCCATTCTTTTCATTGCTCTTCCATTTAGAGTTGCATTCCTGTTGATCTCTCCTCTCTCCTTTCTCTCTCCCTTCTCTTCTCTTGTTCTCCTTTAAATCTCAAAAACACACAAAAGGAAGCTTCTTTTCCTTGTTGAATGAAGAATGAAAAAAGAAGAAAAGAGATAGGGAAAGAAATTGAAGAGCTCCACTGCCTATTGGTTCATTCCATTTCCTCTCTTTCTATGTGTTGTTTTCCTTGTCGTTTCAGAAAGCAAGCAAAATAAGGGCAAGGGGGCTTCCTGAAGAGGAGAGAGGGCACCTATCTGCGAAGAGGTCTTGTCCTTTTTAAGAATAGAGGGAAAAGGGAGAGACAAGGAAGGGAGAGATGATAGATAAAGAAGAGTGCCATCTTCTTTGCGCCTTGTTGTGTTCCTCCGTCTCCTTGTTTCTTGTCTCCTCTCTTCTGTTCAGTACCCTTCCAGAAAATTAAAATGGCCTCTTTGTTGTCTCTCCTCTCTCACTTCCCTTTCCCTTCTCTCCTTCTGTTTCCGTTTAACTGACAAAGCACAAGACAGGTATGATAAAGCAGTGGAAGGTAAAGCAGAGGGTGACTCCTTGCGCTTGGACCTTGCCGTACTTCATCATGTCCCTCTTCTCGGCCTATCTCTTCTGCTCTTTTCCTTACTCTTCTCCTTTTCATAAATTCTTCCTCTTTAGTTGTTCTTATTTCGAAAAGAGGGAAGGGAGAGATAAGGGAGATAGGATAGATAAAGAAGAGTGCCATCTTCTCAGCGCCTCGTTTTGTCTCTCCATCTTCTCTATTCATCTCTCTTCATTTTCTTTTGTTGGCCATTGCATTGAAATTGGATTCCTGTTATCTCTCCCCTCTCCTTCTCTCTCGCTCCTCTTCTCCTGTTCCCCTCTAAATGACAAAAACACAAGAAAGGAAGAACAAGAGGGGCATGTGTTGCAATAAAGCAGGAAGGGAATTGAAGAGCTCCTCTCGCTACTTTCTCATGCCCTTTCCTTTCTATCTACCACAATCTACCACACCAAAACACGACTCTCAGCTTCCAAATATACTTCATCATGGGGAGAAGGGACATACTTCATCACAGACTTGGCCCACAGGGAGAGGGGATATACTTCATCACGCTGCTGGGGGGCTGGATCACAAACATGGCCCACGGGGAGAGGGGACATACTTCAGCCACAAAGAGAGGGAACCTACTTCATCACGCTGGTGGGATGCTGGATCACAGACCTGGCCTACGGGGAGAGGGGACATGCTTCATCACAAATTTGGCCCACGGGGAGAGGGGACATACTTCATCACAAGTTTGGCCCGCGGGGAGAAGGGACATACTTCATCACAGACTTGGCTCACAGGAGGCGCCAAAATAATCCAAATAATCTAATTATTCAAATCCATTGGTTCCTCTGGAAACCCAACCATTTAAATAAGTTAAAGAATTTAATTATTCAAATACCTGGATTTCAATATTTTAGTTCTGGGGCGTCCCATCAAAAGGGAATAGGGAGAGACAAGGGAGAGATGATATATATAGAGCTTTGCGCTTTATTTTGTCACTCCGTCTCCTTGCTTCCTGTCTCTTCTCTTCTTTCCAGTACCCTTCCAGAAAAATGGCATCCTTGTTCTCTCTCCTCTCTCACTTCCCTTTCCCTTCTCTCTTTCTGTTACTTTTTGACTGATGAACAACAAGAAAGGAACTTGCAGGATAAAACAGTGGCAGGGTAAGCAGAGGTTGCGCGTGGACCTTGCCGTACTTCATCATATCCCTCTTCTCGGCCTATCTCTTCTGCTCCTTTCCTTACTCTTCTCCTTTTCATAATTATTCCTCTTTAGTTGTTCTTATCTGGAAAAGAAAGAGGGAAGGGAGAGATAAGGGAGGGAGGATAGATAAAGAAGAGTGCCATCTTCTCTGCGCCTTGTTTTGTCTCCCTCTTCTCTATTCATCTCTCTTCTATTCTTTTCTTTGCTGTTCTATTGAAATTGGATTCCCTGTATCTCTCCTCTGTCCTTCTCTCTCGCTCCTCTTCTCCTGTTCCCCTAAACGATTGCTCTTTACAGATAGGTGCCCTCCCTCCTCTTCAGGAAATCTCTTTTCGCTTATTTTGCTTTTTGAAGCGAATAAAACAACGGATAAGAGAGGAAAGGGAATGACTAAGTAAAGACAGGAGCTCTTCAATAGGTGCCCTCCCTCCTCTTCAGGAAATCTCTTTTCCCTTATTTTGCTTTTTGAAGCGAAGAAAACAACAGATAAGAAGAGAGGAAAGGGAATGACTAAGTAAAGAGAGGAGCTCTTCAATTTCCCTCCCTATATCTGATGTTACTTTTCCTTCTTGGGCGGTGCCCTTCTTTCTCCCTTGAAGATGCAGAAAACGATCAGGAAGGGCACCCGTTCCATCGCCCATATATAGACAGAGATAAATCATGAGCATCAGCTGGGTTTGCTGCCGATCCAAAATGGGCGTCCCTTTTAATCGCTTTCTGTGTCTTGAAACGAGCAAAAGGGGCACCCTTACTAAGTGTTTTCTTGTGGTGTCCCTTTTCTTCGCTTGAAGATGCAGAAAACGATCCAAAAAGGACACCCGTTCCATCGCCCATATATGGGGAGAGAGATAAATCATGAGCATCAGCTGGGTTTGCTGCCAATCCAAAATGGGCGCCCCTTTTAATCGCTTGCTGTGTCTTCAAACGAGCAAAAGGGACACCCTAAGTGTTTTCTTGTGGTGTCCCTTTTCTTCGCTTGAAGATGCAGAAAACGATCTAAAAGGACACCTGTTCCATCGCCCATATATAGGAGAGAGAGGGAGGGAGAGAGAGAGAGAGAGAGAGAGAGAGAGAGAGAAGGAGAGAGAGAGAGAGATCATCAGAGCATCAGCTGGGTTGGCTGCCAATCCAAAACGGGCGTCCCTTTTAATCGCTTTCTGTGTCTTCAAACGAGCAAAAGGGACACCCTAAGTGCTTTCTTGTGGGGTGTCCCTTTTCCTCGCTTGGATCTGCAGAAAACGATCAAAAAGGACACACATTCCATCGCCCATATATATATATAGAGAGAGAGAGAGAGAGAAAAAAATCATGAGCATCAGCTGGGTTGGCTGCCAATCCAAAATGGACGTCCCTTTTAATCGCTTTCTGTGTCTTCAAACGAGCAAAAGGGACACCCTAAGTGCTTTCTTGTGGGGTGTCCCTTTTCCTCGCTTGGAGATGCAGAAAACGATCAAAAAGGACACACATTCCATCGCCCATATATATATATAGAGAGAGAGAGAGAGAGAGAAGAAAAAAAAATCATGAGCATCAGCTGGGTTGGCTGCCAATCCAAAATGGACGTCCCTTTTAATCGCTTTCTGTGTCTTCAAACAAGCAAAAGGGACACCCTAAGTGCTTTCTTGTGGGGTGTCCCTTTTCCTCGCTTGAAGATGCAGAAAACGATCAAAAAGGGCACCCATTCCATCGCCCATATAGAGAGAGAGAGAGAGAGAGAGAGAGAGAGAGAGAGAGAGAGAGAGAGAGAGAGAGAAAAACAAATCATGAGCATCAGCTGGGTTGGCTGCCAATCCAAAATGGACGTCCCTTTTAATCGCTTTCTGTGTCTTCAAACGCACAAAAGAAAACACTTAGGTTCCTCACTTGAAGATGCAGGAAACGGCCCAACAAGGACACCCGTTCCATCGCCCATATATGGAGAGAGAGAGAGAGGGAGAAAGGAAAAAATCATGAGCATCAGCTGGGTTTGCTTACATGTTCATTGTTATTCCTTTTGTTTTTTCTAACGGAAATGAACAAGAGAAGAGAAAAATAAGAACCAGAGGAAAGATGAAAACGAGCACCATCTTCTCTTTGCCTGATTTTTGCATTTCGCCTGTCCTCATTTCTCTTCCATTCTTTTCATTGCTCTTCCATTTAGAGTTGCATTCCTGTTGATCTCTCCTCTCTCCTTTCTCTCTCCCTTCTCTTCTCTTGTTCTCCTTTAAATCTCAAAAACACACAGTGAGGAAGACAAGCTTCGAGGCGCTGGAGCCGTGCCGTTTTCAGGCATCGGCTTGGTCAACGAGTTGCTATTTGTTGTCCGCAAAGTTAGTGTCTTAAGATTGTTCACCGATTGTTGTATGATGGTCACTGATTATCCGAGAAGTTTTCGCGGGTCTTTTGCAATGGGTGCTGTCGTTGCTTTTTTTTGTTGGCTCCTTCTCGGCGGGGCAGTGGCTTCTGCGGTCATGGGAGTGTCCGTGGCGGAGGTGGACCGTAGCGGGTTGTGCGGCTGCATGATTCCAATGCTTGCGGTAAAGGCATGTGTCTCAAGGTGATTTTCTGCGGGAGTGTTTTCTGCACGAGACGGTTCAGGGCACTGCAGGACTCGCGTCCACTTCAGTTTGTGAAGAAGAGTACGAAGTTCGACAGATTGTCGAACCGACATCTGTACGCGTTGAATGATAATGTAGATGTCTTGAAAGAGTTAGGGCATCTTCATGAGAAGAAGCCTCTTTCAGTAGCAGTGATCTTTGTCGACGCACACCAAGCAACAATTGTGCACGACAGCTGGCGAGACTTGGCGTCGGCCGCAGCAGTTTCCCGAGTCAGGAAGACAAGCTCCGAGGCGCCGCAGCCGTGCCGTCTTCAGGCATCGGCTTGGTCGACCAGTTGCTATTGGTTGCCCGCAAAAATAGTGTCTTAAGATTGTTCACCGATTGTTGTATGATGGTCACTGATTACGCGAGACGTTTTCGCAGGTCTTTTGCAATGGGTGCCGTCGTTGCTTTTTTTGGTCGGCTCCTTATCGGCGGGGCAGTGGCTTCTGCGGTCATGGGTGCGTCCGTGGCGGAGGTGGACTGTAGCGGGTTGTGCGGTTGTATGATTCCAATGCTTGCGGTAAAGGCAGTGATTTTCTGCGGGGGTGTTTTCTGCACGAGACGGTTCAGGGCACTGCAGGACTCGCGTCCACTTCAGTTTGTGAAGAAGAGTACGAAGTTTTACAGGTTGTCGAACCGACGTCTGTACGCGTTGAATGATAATGTAGATGTCTTGAAAGAGTTAGGGCATCTTCATGAGAAGATGCCTCTTTCAGTAGCAGTGATCTTTGCCGATCCACACCAAGCAACAATTGGGCACGACAGCTGACAGGACACTGCAATGTGCGCACAACGGTGCGCAGCTCGACCCGAGAGACCGCTTGGATCATCCCCCACGCAAGAGCAGAAGTGATAGCTAGTATTCGTTGCCAACATCTGACTGCGTCTGTACGTTCACATCAAAAAAAGAGTAAATTATAAATCGTAAGCCCTAAACCCTAAGAGAACGAAATTGGTGAATTTGTGCTTCAGGTTTCTTGGATTTAGTTTGTTTATAGGTTTTTAAATACAAAACAAGAGAGAACGTCAAATAATACATAAAGGTCCATGCCACATATATATATATATACCCTTTAAGGGGTTACACAGGGCCCTCATTCCCTCATTCCCCACTAAGAACCAGCCAGTCCTTGCTACGGGCCGGGGCTTCTTACAGGCAGGGTCCATGTACCTATATAGTAGATACTTGGGCCTTATAGGGCTTCCTATTCCTATATAGTAGCTTTAGGGGCCACGTATATACTATATAGGTGCATGGACCCTTAGGGAGGGTTAAGGCCAGGCCCCGCATCCCAAAAAGCTAGGTTCGTACTTGAGGCCCTGCGAGGCGCGAGTTCCTAGAGCCCCTCAAACGCCCAAACGCCCAAACGCCCAAACCCCCAAACCCCCAAACCCTAAACCCTAAACCCTAAACCCTAAACCCTAAACCCTAAACCCCTCTCTGAACAGGCTTTGGGGACCGATCTGCTGAACTGCATCTTCTGGCCGGTGGTGAGGAGGGCCTTTCTTCGTGTGAGACAGCATCCTGGGCTTGTGGCCGAGATGTTCTACACGGCTGCTGGGGCTCGTGGTTTAGGGTTTAGGGTTTAGGGGCTAGGGGCTGGGGTTTAGGGTTTAGGGTTTAGGGTTTAGGGTTTAGGGTTTAGGGTTTAGGGTTTAGGGTTTAGGGTTTAGGGTTTAGGGGTCTCGCTTCTTTTTCTTTGGTTATCCAGTTTTTTTTTTTTTTTTTTTGGGGGGGGGGGGGGCTTACCATTTTGGAATATTTGCTTTGACCCGAGGCCCCCCTAAAACCCGAATCCCTAAAACCCTGACACCCAAACCCCTTTTTCCGTGCTCGGGGCGAACTGTAGCAGCAGCGCGTGTGGGGACACACTTGGCTACTTTGCCTATCCACTTTTGATGCTTGCGACCCAAATCCCACGAACCCTATTGTAGACTGCCTCTAAATCCTATACCCCCCCCCCCCCCCCCGCACTCTCCAAACACAAAGCAAAAACACACAACTAAGCCCTGCACCCTGAACCCTAAACCCTCAACCCTAAACCCTACGCCCTAAACCCTAGCCCCAAGCTCACAAAACCAAGGCCCTGATCCGAGACCGCCGCGATGTCCGGGGCCCGGCAAGCAGAGCCTGGCGCGATGCCCAGGCTTTCGTGTCGCGGAACTGCGTTACGGCCATGAGCCCCGGCCCATGGGGTTTAGGGTTTAGGGTTTAGGGTTTAGGAGGTTTATCAGGTTTAGGGTTATCGGGTTTAGGGTTCAAAGAAGCTTCACTGTCACTTACGGCCATGGGCCCGGGTTAGGGTTTAGGGTTTGGAAGTTTACGGTTTAAGGTTCGGGTTTGTGCATCTCCTCTGGGTTTCAGCATCGGCTTGCAGAGGCGCAGAAGAGTTCGATGGCAGTTCTTAGATTTCATGTCTGAGTGGTTTAGGCTCGTTTGGGGTTAGGCTCGTTTAGGGTTCCCTATACCCCCACACCCTAAACCCTGAACCACAGGTCTACTAGAAGAAAGTTTTTAGGCTCTCTTTAGGGTTCTATGGGCCCCAACACTACACTTGGGATGCTCCCCCTTATACGAACAGTCCTGAATAGGGATGATAGTACCCCCGATTCGAATCCCTATGGAGGACTGTTCGTATAAGGGGGAACGTCCCAACCCTACACCCTAAGCTTACTGAAAAAGCTGTGCCTCGACGACTCAGAACCTCTTTTTATTGATTTAGGGTTTAGGGTTTATGGTTTAGGGTTCAGGGTTCAGGGTTTAGGGTTTAGGGCTTAGGGCTTAGGGTTTAGGGCCCTAACCCTAAACCCTAAACCCTAAACCCTAAACCCTAAACCACTTTTGGGTTCAGGGGGTTTTCGGGACAACGCGAGGGGAGATGGGCCTTTGCGTATGAGGGCTTTGTGTCGGCTGGGCCTTTTGTTTGCTTCTTGCCCCCCGAGCTGTATATCACCAAGCCCTAAACACTAAACCCCCGGAAACCTAAACCCTAAACCCCATGAACCCTAAAACCCTAAACCCCCTGAACCCAAAAGTGGTTTGTCGTGCACAGGTTTGCTTACAACTAGTAGGTCGCTTCGGACGTTTCCTTCTCACCTCCTATCTCGAGATTGTCATCTTTGGGCAAAGTATTTAGTTAGCATACATAGGGGTTTAGGGCTTTGGGCTTAGGGTTTAGAAGGTTTTCGGACATCTCAAGGAACACCGTCACCGCGGAGAGGTTCATTCACTCCCTCCTGCTGCACTGCACCCGAAATGAGCGAGGGACGCACCTTCGGGATGAGCTCAAGGGACTCCGGCTGGGGGAGAAGACCTCCGAGGCAAGAAGGGGTTTAGGGTTTGGGGTTTGGGGTTTAGGGTTTAGGGTTTAGGGTTTAGGGTTTAGGGTTTAGGGTTTAGGGGTGCTTGGGGGTGCAGGGCTTGAGAAGAGAAACAAGTAAAGACTCAACAACCTACATTACAATTCAGTATGAGTAAGTGCATTAAAAAAGGACTAAACATGTGTAAAGTAAAGCCAAGTACGAATGCAAGACGTGATACATGATTCGGCTTCATAGGGTTTACTACGTAGGTAGGACATTTTCACGGCTTCCTCTCAAACCCTGCACCCGAACTGATAAGAGTGTTGGGGTTTTGGTTTCAGGGCGCATGATACAGGGACTTCGCCCAGGGCGGCAGCCGGTAGAGTCAAGCCTAACTCTCGAAACTCGAAATGGTGTGATCTCATGCTTAAGGCCTTGTAAAGCTGGGTTCTCCAGCAGCCTCTGTGGCGTAGTGCAGTTTTTTAAGGAGAGCAGCGATTTTAAGGGTTCAGGGTTTAGTAGGAAGTATCCATGAACCTTTGTCATAGTCGGGTAACATTTTACACTTTTAAGGGTACTTAAACTCAATAAGGAAAAAATAATTTCTTAATATTATCCCAATAATGAACTAGGAACTGGTAGATATCACCCAAGAACACGCGCTGTTTGGGTCAGTCTGCCCGTCGCTGCCTCCTGATCAACCTTCTGAACCCTGGCCTGAAGTCATGGGGGGGTTTAGGGTTTAGGGTTTAGGGTGAGGGGGAGAGGGGGAGGGGGGGGGGGAGGGGGGAGCGGAGGGTGTACAGTGTTCTTGCTCTTTGCACAACATACCGCACAAGGATTTGTGAAGCTTCTGGAACAAGACACGCTGCCAAAAGCATGTATCCCTAAACCCTAAACCCTAAACCCTAAACCCTAAACCCTAAACCCTAAACCCTAAACCCTATGGGGAGGGCCTCTGGCAGGCGGTATCCCGAGCTTGGCATGCTGCCATGATCACCGGCCGCACGGCCACCAGCGGTACTTTCGCTGCGGCCGGGCTTGCGGCCGATGCCCCTTGTCCTACCTGGAGGTTTAGGGTTTAGGGTTTAGGGTTTAGGGTTTAGGGTTTAGGGTTTAGGGTTTGGGGTTTAGGGTTTAGGGTTTAGGGGTGCTTGGTGAACCACTTCTATCTGTACTTTATAACCCACTTACAAGCCCCTTAAGTGCCCTACTATGGTTATGTCCTAGGCTTACGTGAGTACAGGGGACGTTGCAGCCTGACCCTAAACCGTAAACCCCAAACCCCAAACCCTAAACCCTAAACCCTAAACCCTAAACCCTAAACCCTAAACCCCAAGCCCTAAACCCAGTCATGGAAGCCTTGGCGAGATCGGCTGAGGTGGTGAGTGCGGGGCCTTCACTGCGACAGATGCAAAGCGCAGCGAAAGACACGGCTCCTCGGCCTCTGGTGCTTGGTAGCCCCGTGGTTTGCGGGGTTTGTGGTTTAGGGTTAGGGTTTCGGGCTTAGGGTTTAGGGTTTAGTGTTTAGTGTTTAGTGTTTTAGGGTTTAGTGTTCAGGGTTTGGGGCTTAGGGTCTAGGGTTTTGGGTTTAGGGGTACCCTTTTCCTGTTACCTCCAGGTTCCCTTATTGGGGGGTTTCCGAAATTGGGGGGCGGGGGGGGGGGGGGTACCTTATTGGAATCCTTCTTATAAGGGAGTCTTACTATTTGGGGGTCTGAATTCGTGGTCCCTGTTTTTCGGAAACCCCCTCATAAAGGAACCGACCCAAACAGGTGTGCCAATATTGTTGCCGGGATACCAAGCGTGTGACTACCAAGCGGACTTTCGCGACGTGTTCGGTGCCACTCCCTCGACCCAGCACTTTTCCTAGACCTCAAACTTGCAGATGTCACACAAACCCTCAGTCCTCGACCCTAAGCCCTATATACTCCTCACCGTAAACCCTAAACCCTAAAAACTAAACCCTAAAACCTAAACCCTAAACCCTAAACCCTAAACCTAACCCTAAACCCTAAACCCTAAACCCTAAACCCTAAACCCTAAACCCTAAACCCTAACCCTAAACCCCAAACCCCAAACCCTCAAACGCCAGGCTTCCGATCTTATGAAGGGAATCCGGGGCCTGCTCTTTGACGCCCCAATGCTGCCCGATCCGCCCCGGTGATGCGCACGCGCCCGAGCTCACGGCCCTGAGCCCGCAGCTCCCGGTTAGGGTTTAGGGTTTAGGGTTTAGGGTTTGGGGTTTAGGGTTTAGGGTTTAGGGTTTAGGGTTTAGGGTTTAGGGTTTAGGGGCTAGGTTTGTTGTTGTACCTTTTTGGAATCCTACAGGGCTTTCCTGCCATGTGCTTCCAAATTCAAAGAGCAGGGGTTGAAGAACGAAGCCCTAGATTCTGTATCCTAAAATCCTGAACCTGAAACACTCCACTGCGAACTCTAAACCCTGCAATCCCTAAACCCTCAACCCCAAGCCCTAAACCCTAATCCCTATATCACATACCCGTCGTCATCGTCAAAGTGCTGGAGGCTCGCAGGAGGGGAAGCTTCGTGCGCATACCTGATACATACCTGTAAGGCCCATCTGTTGCTCACGGGGGATGTCCGAAAGGTTCAGGGTTTAGGGCTTAGGGTTTGGGGTTTAAGTTTAAGGTTCAGGGTTCAGTGATGTGAGTCATTGAGGATTGGGAGATTCGAGTTCTCGCATGGATGGGCATGCGTTTGATGAAGAGCTGTTCATGCACAACAGATGGGCGCTGCTGCTAAGCCCCTGTGTACATATCCTAGCCTCGGCACTTGGTCCTGGGTTGTGCTTAATCTTTTAAGGGAACCTAAACCCTAAACCCTAAACCCCAACAAGTAAACCCTAAACCCTAAACCCTAAACCCTATTCATAATCGTTTTCAAAAGGGTTATTAAGCACAACTCAGTTGCGGGTTTTCGTGGGGCGGTTTGGGAGGGGCTCACCTGAGTTCGACAGGCCGGTGTTCCGGAGGATCCACCGGCTTGTGCCCTCTCCTGGAAGCAGGGTTTAGGGTTTAGGGTTTAGGGTTCAGGGTTTAGGGTTCAGGGTGGAAAGCCCTACAAAACCTCTAGGACTTCTAGGCGTTATCTACCGGCTTCGAGCTGAACCGGATGCCAGGAAACATCGTTGAATTCAGGGTAGGTCTCGACGTGTCAGGTGCGTGGACTGCGTCCTGTGAGCTTGATAGATGGATGCCAGCCAAAGAGCCCAGGGCTCTTTGAAGCTGTGTGAACTCAGCAGGGACCCTTACAAGGGACCTTAGGGGTTCTTTGGGGGGTGGGGTGTTTTAGGGGCTACTTAGACTTAGACATACATACAGGGACTATATAAGGGGTTATATAGGGCAATAAGATTCAGGGTCCCTTCTATAGGGGTCCCTCCTTATACCCCTTAAGTGAACCAGTGTTTGTCGCGTTCGGCCAAAAGGTATGACTGTTTAAGGGGCGTCATGGCAAGCATGACGCCGAAAGCACGACGGTCTGCGACGCGACATGCTTTGTACAGGTCCTTGCCGTGTCCTAGCGGACTGCAGCAAAGAACAGGCAGCCGTTTCAATGTTTGTTTGTTCCTCGCCATCGAACTTCCACCGCCCCGGCAGCACAGAGGGGGAAATGGCCTCCAAAAACCGGAGAACCCTAACCCCAACGCCCCGAGCTCTTGCACGTAACCACCGGAGGCTGATTCAGAACATTTTTCTTCGGGCTGTTCCGCAGCAGTGTATGACCAGCCTTGTCACCAAACACCCTCAAAGCTGGAGGCCCCGAGACGTGGAGTTGCTGGTATGAAGCCTAATCCCTAAACCCTTCTTGACCCTTGAACCCTCAACCCTCAACCCTCAACCCTCAACCCTCAACCCTCAACCCTCAACCCTCAACCCTCAACCCTCAACCCTCAACCCTCAACCTTCCTTGCCCCAATGGATGCCTGGGTAGGTTACTCGCAAGGCAGGGCCACAAACTTCACACCCTCATCCCGATCTAAGAACCACAAGAGCTGAAACCCTAGCCCTAAACCCTAAACCTTGAATCTTCTATTGCTAAGCCCTAGGCCCTGAGCCCTATAAACCCTATAGACCCGCAACCCTCCCCTAAACCCTAATCCTTAGGATTCTCAGGGCACCCTTACTTGCCCTGGATCCCTGAGCCGTAAGGCCTGCCCCCCCTGAACCCGTATCCCTGAACCGCTTAAGCTCGAGGGCATCTGATTACAGGCAATCTCTTGGTGTATGCTTGCTTCAAGCCTCTTCTTCAAAATGCCCGCCCTTCCCTCGCCCTGAAGGTTTTCAACACCAGGAACCACCAAATCCCTGAGCCCACAAACCCTCTAAAGCCCAAACCGCCGTGGCAGGGTTTAGGGTTTAGGGTTTAGGGTTTGGGGTTTGGGGTTTGGGGTTTAGGGGTGTAGGGTTTGGGGTTTGCGGGTTTGTGATAGGGCAATGAGGCTAAAAGTGCCTCACTAAACGATCTTTGGGGCTTGGAGTAAGTCATACCGCCTGATTACAAGGCATAACTTCCAGAAAGTGGGTTGATTCGGGGGCAAAGGTATCCATTGTCTCTTTCCAAGCTTTCGTGAGCAGCTGCACTTTACTCCGGCAGCCATTTCTCAGAGGGGTGCGTCGAATCTAACGCCCCCCCCCGCCCACAATCCGAGGGACGACTATCCTGCAGGGCACATCGGTATCTAGGGGCACACACCGCAAGCCACTACCCCGCCGAAGAAGCCCACCCCCCCCCCCCCACTGTGCGCCCTCACGTGGGGTGGTTTACAGTTTAGGGTTTGGGCTTTCATCGTCTTCGTAGCTCCGCCACCCAGACCCACAGCGCCAAGCTCCACTCTAGCCCAAGACCCAAAACCCTAACGCCCTAAAGCACCAAAACCCCGACATGCTGCAAAGCCCCCCAAAAAAAACCCTCAGGCCCCCAACCTGAATCCTAAACCCCAAAACCCTAAAACCGAAAACCCTAAAACCCCAAGACCCTAAGACCCTAAGACCCCAAAAACCGCTTGCCAGCGATGGCAGCTTCGTGCGGTTGTAGACAGCCAACTCCGGGGTGCTTGCGTGGGCTTCGTGATGTCTTGGAGCGCCTGAAAGGTTTTTTTTTCTTTTTTCTTGGGTTGTTGGGATTAGGTTTAAGGGTTAAGGGTTAAGGGTTTAGGGTTTAGGGTTTAGGGTTTAGGGTTTAGGGTTTAGGGTTTAGGGTTTAGGGTTTAGGGTGCCTACCAGGTTGGCTGTTCGGCCTTGTAATCCCCAGAAGCAACCCTATAAAGGGCCTTTCCAAGGGGTTGTAGGATAGAATAGCCCAGCCTGGTAGTTAGGACCCTAAACCCTAAACCCCAAACCTAGACCCTAAACCATAAACCCTAAACCCTAAACCCTAAACCATAAACCCTAAACCAAAAGGGAGTTAGAAGGCCGGGTGGGATGTTGGAGTTGGGCTTTTGGGTTTCCTGCTTTGTTGTTTCGGGGTTCGTGGTGTAAGGAGTCCCATTTCTTCAGACCCCGGCGAAGGCTCTAAAGCGCTTTGAAGGACCTGTTGAACACCGTAAGAACCCTTGCTTGCAAGAAATGTTCGAAAGCCCTGTGATAACCCTTCAAAATTCCTGTGTGTCAAAACCCTTGAAAACCGTAAGCCCCAAACCCTAAACCCTAAACCCTAAACCCTAAACCCTAAACCCCCGTAAAAATTCGTCTTTACAGCACGCACGCGCAAGGACTTTCGATGCCGAGAGGCCGATCGGCCCTCACAGCAGCGGCTCCCTGGACTTGGCGCCCAGCCCGCACTAGGGTTTAGGGTTTAGGGTTTAGGGTTTAGGGTTTAGGCTGACTGTCTTGATTGTTACTGGGAGGATTCAAAAAGTAGATCCCCTTAAGGGTTCCTAAGAATGACCCAATGGTAGTATAGGGTACTGTACTGTTGGGGGGTTTTGTTTTTTGATGATCTTGATCGTTAGTTGGGCTCCTGTGCTGTTTCACACCGTTCTACTATAGGGTCGGACAAATTTCAAATGGTATTCCCTTATGATCCCTTTATTAATATTATACAATAACCCCCCAAACACTATTGAATTGATTAAGGCCCCTATATTAGGTAGGTTAATTCGCAGTCTTCAGAAGGTTGTAGAAGGGAGGCATGATCTTTATGGCATTGCGGCAGCTCTTGCAATGAAAGGGCGAATCCAACAAGCTGCGGGGTTTAAGATTTGAAAGGGTTAGGGGAGGTGCAGCGTTCGTGTCGGAAAGTCTTCTTTGCGTCGTGCTACATCTCCGTGTGGGGATGACACTCCAGTTCTTTTTTGGAAGCTTGGGCTCTCCTGGAGGGTTTAGGGTTTAGGTTTAGGGTTTAGGGTTTAGTGTTTAGGGCTTACCGTATAGGGTTACGGTTTAGGGACCACGTGGTCAGGAGCCTCCTCGACACCAACCACACACCGCCATCAACCCCAAACCCTAAACCCGCTTAGCTGTCTAGAGCCGCCGATCGCGGTTCATGACCCATTGAAAAGGAGAAAATTCAAAGATCCCCAAAGATCCAGGATGGTAAACACCCCAAACCCCAAACCCAAAACCCTAGGCCCTAGACCCTTAAGGGACTGCTATAGGGGGTACCCAGTTTCAAGCCCTGCCGCTTGCAGTCCTTTCAGACGAGGGCTTCGGGTTTAGTGTTTAGGGTTTCGGTTGTAGCGTCTAGGGTTTAGTGTTTAGGGTTTAGGGTGTAGGGTTTAGGGTTTAGGGTATCATCCCAAATTCCCCCCAGAAAGCACCTGAAGATTTCCACCGCCCTCCCCCCCACCTGTGTAAGCTCCCTTGAACAAAACCCAAAACCGTAAACCTTTAACCCTCTTAGGCCCTCTGAAACCCTCTGAAACATAGTGGAACCCTCTGAAACCCTCTTGAAATTAACCCTCTGAAGCCCTGTTAAACCGTCCTAAACCTGGTTAAACCCTCTGAAACCCTCTTAAGCCCTCTTAAACCTTCTTAAACCCGTACAAGCCTGAACCGAAACCCTGAAACCCGAGCCCCAAAACCTCCCACACGCCAGGTTCGGGATGAGCCAGAACATCGCCAGGGCCCCTGGGTTTAGGGTTTAGGGTTCAGGGTTTAGGGTTTGGGGTTTCGGGTTTCGGGTTTAGGGTTTAGGGTTTAGGGTTGGGGTATCGTATCCTAAGGTCAGTGACATGGGCCCTTACTATGGTCCCTTGCCTCCCTTTAAGGGTTCTGAAGTATGGGCCCTTATTTTGTACAGGGTATATAAGGGAAATGTAAGGGGGTCCCCTTTTAAGGGTCCATGCTAAGGGACCATGCAACTACCCTAAGATCTTACGTTTTTCCTTATTGGGTGTAGGAAGGGTTTTGGTTTTGGGGTTTAGGCCTTAAGGCTTTGGGTTGGGTGGAAGAGGGTTATATTCAGGAGCATTGCCAGGCGGCTATGAGCAGCGCTTTGGCAATGCCATCGGCAAACGAGAAGCTTGTTGGCGTGGCGTCTTGGGGCAAGTTATCGGATGGCCTGGTCCCCTTTGTGCTGGGCTCGCTAGAGGACAACTTTGCCTCGGCTTCGGCTGAAACCTGCCTTGACGGGCTCAAGAATGGAGCCGACGACCGGCGCCGGCTCTGGACCTTGCTGAGACTTCCAAGCTGCCTGCCGGGCCGGCTCGCACCGAGTGTTTAGTTTAGGGTCTAGGGTCTAGGGTCTAGGGTTTAGGGTTTAGGGTTTAGGGTTTAGGGTTCAGGGTTTAGGGTTTAGGGTTTAGGGTTGAGGGTTTAGGGTTTAGGGAGGGTTGAGGGTTTAGGGTTTAGTTTAGGGTTTAGGATTTAGGGTTTCGGAGTCGGTTTAGGGTTTTGGGTTCACGGTTCATGGCAATTAAAGGGTTCGGGTCCAGGGAAAGTTACGGTTACATTTTTCAGAGGGTTTAGGGGTTCAGGGCTTAGGGGTTTAGGGGCTTAGAGGTGTCGGGGTTCGAGTGCTTGGGTTTGCCTCGGCTCTTGACCGAAAAACTACCAGACTTAGGCTAAGAGGCCCCTCATGAGACTCTAACAAAACCTACAAAATACATACAAACAAGGAATAAGTAAAGAAACAGACATACATAGATAATCAAGATTTGAGATGCTGAAAGATCGCAGCTTGGCTTCTCAGCCCATGTCCGCAGCCCGAAGCCGATTGGACCACCCCATTTGATAGCTGATACCCGCACAAGCCCTAAACCCTAAACCCTAAACCCTAATTAAACCCTAAACCCTAAACCTTAAACCCTAAACCACCCAAAACCACCCTAATTAAACCCTAAATCCTAAACAACCTAAGTTCTATGGGCCTTTAAGACAGTCGCTTAGCTCTTTGAAGAGTTCTGAAGTATGGGCTCTTGGGGTTTATAGGGTATACAAGGGGTATATAAGGGGTCCCCATTTCAGGGCCCATACTAAGGGACCATGTAGCTACCCTACGATGGGAAACCCCTAAACCCTAAACCCTAAACCCTGAACCCTAAACCCTCAGAAACAACCGCGCTTCCGGACATCCCTTGAATCGCGAGGCCTTGGGAACTTGGGGCTCTACGTGCGCCTTGTGGGCGGCCCACCACATGGCCAGGCGAGGCATGAAGACAGCGGTTACGGTGGGGTTTAGGCGATTGAGGGTTTAGGTTTAGGGTTCACGGTTTAGGGTTAGGGTTTAGGGTTTAGGGTTTAGGGTTTAGGGTGTGGGGTTTAGGCTCAACCCAACCAAAAGCCCCGAATGAAGGGAAATGCATCCCGGGAACGGTGCCAAGGTTTCGGGTTTAGGGTTTAGGGTTTAGGGTTTAGGTCCACATGACTTACTAGGGCTTAGGGTCTAGTGTTCGGGGTTTAGGGTGTAGTTGATTGGGGTTTAGGCTAATGCAGCCCGGGCAGGCCCTTGGGATATTTTGGATTTTCCCATGTTGGGTTTAATGTTGGGAACGCCTCTCGATGTTTGCGGGCCCTGAAATGCGCACAACACCCATGTACTATGCGGAAACAACCTGAACCCTAAACCCGAAACCCCAAACCCTAAACCCTATACCCTAAACCCGAAACCCTAAATCCTTAACCCTAAGCCCTCGTGAGCACCCGCGGGCGACGCGGCATCACAGCGACTTAGTTCTTGAACTTGGTAATAGCCCAGTGGTACCCTTTTCCCTTGTGAAGCAACCAACCCCAGAACGGGTGCCCTTATTACGATCTGGTTAAAGGGGGGCTACCAAGAGTTTGTTAATGTTTGTTCATGTACTCCCAATGTAAGAATCCGACGCACTGTTTGGGGAATGAGCCGAGGTGGTGCTGCATATTCCTCACAGTTCCGAAGATAAGAGACAATGGGTTTAAGGGTTCAGGGTTTAGGGCTAGGGTTTAGGGTTTGGGGTTTCGGACTTAGGGTGTGGAGGTTACGGATGCCCTCCCACGTCCCCAGTGGCTCTGCGTTGCTAAGCACCATCATGTCATAGTTGCTTGCAGGATATCGACTTCAGAACCCGTCCACGCAACGAGGATGTCAAGTGCCCATGCAGGGCGATTAGGCTTGAGAATCCCCAGAATCAGCCCTGCAAAGGGCCTTTTGAAGGGGTTATGGGGTACCCTGCACCCTAATTAAACCCTGAAACCCTAAACCCTAATTAAACCCTAAACCCCAAAACCCAAACCCCAAACCCCAAACCCTAAACCCTAAAGCCCATCCTGGATCGGAAGGAAGCCATTGGTGGGCAGACGGATCGCTTTGTTGTGGAGGAGGCCCTCGGGAGGTACACGCAAGCGCTCGCGTGGAGCATGAAGCGCTGCATGCTTGAGGGTTTGGGTTTAGGGTTTAAGGGCTTAGGGTATAGGGTTTAGGGTTTCGGGTTTGGGGTATAGGGTTTCGGGTTAGGGTTTAGGGTTTAGGGTTCAGGGTTCAGGGTTTAGGGGCTAGGGTTTAGGGGTTAGGATTTAGGGTTTATGGTTTAGGGGTTGACATCTTGCGACAAGTCTGGGCAGAACAGGATCAGCGGCAGCGCGCGCGCCTTCACTGGAGAAGCCGGGAGGTGCGCTGCAACTACACATGGGTGTTGAAGGTGACTACGACTACTTGCTTAGGGTTTAGGGTTTAGGGTTTACGGTTTAGGGTTTAGGGTTTAGGGTTTAGGTTTAGGGAATGTTGAGATCTAAGTCATTGGATGTTTAGTTTCTTCTTTTTTTTTTTTTTTTTTTGGGGGGGGGGGTGTCTATGTCTGTGATTATGATAGGTAATGTCGTTGACGGTTTCATTTAAAGCATTCTGTACGCAACAGCAAACTTTAATATACATGCAGATACACAAATAGATAGAACGAAGGACATTAAGTGAATATGTTTTTCACTTTACATACATATGTATGACGGTCAACCCACACATCAGACCGCCGAAGGCACAGGGGAGGCAATGGAGGACGCGGGTCATGACAGGCGTAGTAGTATGAACAGGGAGTGCGAAACTAAAGCCGCAATCCCAAAAACCCTCAAACTCTAAACCCCTACATCCTAGACCCCAAAGCCCAAAGCCCTAAAACCCCTAAATCTTAAATCCTAAACCCCCCCAAAACCCTAAATGCTAAACGCTAACACCCTGAGCCCCAAACCCTTGAATTTGAACCCTGCATTTGAACCCTGCATTTGAACCCTGAACATCAGAGATCTAGCTCCGAACTCACGAGCCAGACATGACTGTTGGTTTAGGGTTTTGGGTTTAGGGTTCAGAGCCTTCTCAACTGGAAGTGTCGCTGGAAAGGGCGATAAAGCTTGCCCTGAGTATCCATCCTCCTGCCCTGTACTGTTTTACTATTGTTTCTTTAAGAACTACACAAACAATAAATAAGGATAATCCCATGTTGCCCGTATAAGAAAGACTATTGTTGAACTTTCTGGGGGTTCTTGAGCAAATTGTCGTCAAAGAATGTGGAGGGCTGAGGGACATTCACCAAGCTAAACCCTAGCCGTCCTTACACCCCCAACAGTGCTCGTGTCGCCCTAAACCCTAAACCCTAAACCCTAAACCCTAAACTCTAAACCCCAAACCCCAAACCCCAAACCCTAAACCCTAAACCCTAAACCCTAAACCCTAAACCCTAAACCCTAAACCCTAAACCCTAAACCCTAAACCCTAAACCCTAAACCCTAAACCCTAAACCCTAAACTTAAACCCTTAACTTTAAAAGGCTTCGACAGAGAATGGCGGCTCCCGCGCCGCTGGGCAGCATTGAGGATTCTGCCAGGGCTTTCGGGCTCTATTGTGTAGGGTTAGGGCTTAGAGCTGAGAGATTAGGGCTTAAGGTTCGAGGGCTTCGGGTTTTCCCTAAGCCCTAAACCCTAATTTTCGAGGGCTTCGGGTTTTCCTTAAGCCCTAAACCCTAATTTTGGAGGGCTTTGGGTTTTCCTGGTGGTGGTGGGGTAGCAGTGCGAAGTTGCTGCAGCAGCTCTATGAGAGACGCTGATCAACAGTTGATGCGCGACACCGCCCTCGAGTATGACATCCAGAGGCGGTTTAGGGTTTAGGGTTTAGGGTTTAGGGTTTAGGGTTTAGGGTTTAGGGAAGACAGCGAAGGCTGGTGGAGAGGTTACTAGCCAAAGTACAGCGGGCGTAAGGGCCCAATGGCCTTGGGCTCGGACAATGAAGGCAAAAAAACAGAAGCAAGGACTCCGCCGACGCTCCGGCCGCTCTAGTTCCGGGAGTGACTTGGCTGCAGCCAACTCGAGTTCTAGCTCCAGTTCCAGTTGCTCCCATGGAAAACATGCCCAGTCCACTGCCCAGGTTCTGGATTAGGGTTTACGATTTCGGGCATATAGTGAACAATACTTTAAGAGCTTGGAGGGCCCCAAGGTATCGTTTCCTCTAGGCGATACCCTTCCTTCGTAGACTAAGCAATCGCTTGGCGAAGCGATACCTCATACCAAAACCGATGCCCTGGTACACATGTCACATGTCGCTTTTGGTCCTTCGAACTTGCCGCCCGCCCAACTCGACTTGGCAAAACCCTAAACCCAACCCTTAAACCTTTAGCGTTTAGGGTTCGGGTTTAGGGTTTGGTTTGGGGTTTAGGGTTTAGGGTTAGGGTACCTCAACAGCTTGTCAACAGCGCCTGGGGTGGGCTTTTCCGCTAGAATTTGTACCCTCAGCCCAAAACCCTAATCCCCTTGGTAGCCCAGTGGTGCCCTTTTCGGTTTCTTTAGGTTCAGGGTTCGCTTGTAAATTTATAAAGTAGGGTTTAGGGTTTAGGGTTTAGGGTTCAGGGTTTAGGGTTTAGGGTTTAGGGTTTAGGCTTTAGGGTTAATATAGTAACCAACCCCAAAAAGTGTAATATGGTTGATGGGCTACCGAGACTCTGAAGCCAAGGAGTGTATGGGGCGGTTGGTTTCAGCAAGCTACGGGCTGATGTGTTCACAAGGTATGGTTTTGGGTTTGCCTTAAGAACCCTGAACCCTACCTTTTCTTGCAGGTTGCCCTAAACCCTGACCCCAAACCCTAAGCCCTAAACTCCCTAAACCCTAAACCCCTGAGAACGTGGACTGTGGAGTTCGTAAAAGCAACTTTCTTTTGGGGTCGAATATATTAACAACCCCCCCCCCCCCACCCCCCCCCCACCCCCCCCCCCCCACCCCCCCCCACCCCCCCCCCACCCCCCCCCACCCCCCCCCCCCCCCCCCAAAAAAAAAAAAAAAAAAAACTATTCTAGTTATTCAGGCCCCTATATAAGGGCTTGAGTTTGACGGCGTTTGGAGAAAGCTTGAGGCCTCAGGTTCCCAAGCCCTGAACCCTAAGCCGTTTTAGGGTTTAGGGTTTAGGGATGGGGTTTCAGGGTTTAGGGTTTAGGGTTTTTTAGGGTTTAGGGTTTAGGGTTTAGGGTTTCAGGGTTCAGGGTTCAGGGTTCAGGGTTCAGGGTTCAGGGTTCAGGGTTCAGGGTTCAGGGTTTAGGGTTTAGGGTTTAGGGTTTAGGGCGTCTCGCCGCGCAGCGGCAGTAGATACGATGTGGAAATGGCGCCCCACCGCGGGGGCCAAGGGCAGAGGAGGGCACCAGAGGGAGGCAGTCATCATGGATATCTGCTGGGTCCAGGCACCCTAGAAAAGGGTGGGTACGGCCTAAGCAGGCCGGGTGGGAATTTAGGGTTTAGGGTTTAGGGTTTAGTCATTCAACCTTCCCCCAAATTGGTTCAGGGTTTGGAGTATCCGGAGGATTTAAGGGCCAAAGTCCCAGGTGGGCGGGGAAGGGGAGGCAGGGTCTATGGTTTAGGGTTTACATGGCATGGTCTAGCCCTGTTCTGGCGTGCTCGGCCCCTAACGAACCCTGAAACCTGAAACCAGAAACAAGCCAAGACCCCCTGAAGCCTAAAGCCTCAAGCCTCAACCCTAAACCCTAAACCCTAAACTTCACCCTCAACCCCAAACCCCAAACCCTAAACCCTAAACCCTAAACCCTAAATGCCGGTCTCTCGCTCAGGCTTGGTATGTGAGCAGCGCCTTCTCACCTTGGGAGCCATCGGTCGGGGAGCCCAGGCGCCGAATCCCTAAACTCCCCTAAACTCCTAAACCCTAGCCCTAAACCCTAAACCCTAAACCCGAAACACTAAACACCCCTAAACACCCCTAAACACCCCTAAACTCCCCTAAACTCCCCTAAACTCCCCTAAACTCCGACACCCTACACCTCCCAAGCCCTACCTTACTTTGCAGCCCAGGGGTTCCCTGCTGATTCCAGGTTCCTTTTCTCGGTTTAGGGTTTAGGGTTTAGGGTTTAGGGTTAGTAACCAACCCCCCCCCCCACCCCAAAAAAAAGACACCCGTGTTGTAAACATGGTTACCGGGCTACCAAGCTTAAGCACCCAAACCTCAATTTTTCCGAGGAACTCCTAAGAATGATATTAGGGGCTTTCTGCTAATAACCATTCAAAAAAAGTAGGGTTTAGGGTTTAGGGTTTAGTGCTTAGGGTTTAGGGTTTAGGGTTTAGGGCTTTGGGTTCTTAAGGTGAGCCCTAATCTCCCAAACCCTGAACCCCTAAACCGTTGACCCGCCGAACCTTTGAAGCCCTAAAGCCACTGAAGCCCTAAGCCCTACTCCTTGATGTTCCCCCTTACACTAAGAGTCCTTAATGGGTTACAGTGCCCATCCCTATTAAGGACTGTTCGTATAAGGGTGAACATCCCAACCTACAGCCCTACACCATTGCGGTCTCTTGGTTGATGGCGTGTAGGGTTTAGGGTTCATGACTTGGGTTTGGTGTTTAGGGCCCCTAAGCCCTGAACCCCTAAACCCCTAAACCCCTAAACCCCTAAACCCCTAAACCCCTAAAACCCTAAAACCCTAAAACCCTAAAACCCTGAAACCCTAAACCCCTAAAACCCGAAACCCTGCAAGTCGGACGCTTTGTACAGAAGTCTAGGCCAGGAATATCAGTTGAAGCATCAGGTGCGCAGGATTTGGGCTCCCCATCTTCAGCCCAGGGGGACACAGGGCTCATGGAGAAAAAGGAACCCTAAACCCCAAACCCTAATAAACCCTAAACCCTAAACCCTAAACCCCAAACCCCCAAACCCTAAAGCCGACTTAGGGCTTCGACAAGTGTAGGGCTTCTCATGCGACTCGGACCCTCCAGGTGGCACCCTTGGCCCTAAACCCTAAACCCTAAACCCTAAACCCTAAACCCTAAACCCTAAACCCTAAACCCTAAACCCTAAACCCTAAACCCTAAACCCTAAACCCTAAACCCGCCACCCCTCTCACCTCTGTTGGGTAGGCGGGCGCAGTCGAGCGCTCAGCGAGACCATGGCAGGCTCTGCTTGAGCTGCAGAGCCTGCCCACCGCACCCCTGAGGCGTCGCCAAGCTTGGTCGCCAAGCTCGTCTCAGATATATATTAGTACCCTAAACCCCAGGGTGGGGGGTCCTTTTTCAATTCCTGGCAGTCCCCTGCGCAAAACCTGAGGGGGGAGTCCTTTGCCCTCCCCAAGTGACCTCCGAAATCAAGGGACATTCTTGGCCCTTCTCAAAGTCGCAAATGTCCCAGGCAGTGCCAGTAAGCAGGGGGGCCTTAAACCCTTCCAGTAGGCAGAAGGCTGCCAAAGAAGGTCCTGGAGCTGACAGGAAGCCCTGAAAGGTCCGACCCCTCGCTTTAACGCTCTAGTGAGTTTCGTTCTCTGGCCAAGTCAGCTTCGGCGTGGGGGGGGGGGGGGATTCTTGCAAAACCTGGAGACTCTTCACGCCCTGAATTTTCTGTGAGAGGGCCCTTCGGCCCAGACCGTCCCCTGCGCAAAACCTGAGGGGGGTGGTCCTTTGCCTTCTGCCCCCAAGTGACCTCCGAAGTCAAGGGACACCCTTGGCACCCCCTCAAAGTAGCAAATGTCCCAGGCAGTGCTCGACATGCTGCCTTCTGGCCCCAGATGATCTCCGACTTCCTAGTGTCCCAATCAGCCACTGTTCCCAAGTGACCCCCCCAAGAAATCGCCAACAGCTCGCCTCAAGTTCGGCAAGAGTTCACGACTCGCAAATGTCCCAAGCATTCGCAGTGTTTTATCTTAGTGTGCTCTGAACATGTTCGATATGTGAAATTTGAATGGCTGGCTTGGCTTTGGCTGGCTCCGGTTTGGTTTCGTGATGAGTATTGTTTGGGTGGCCTCGGGGTGGGCATGTCTTCACACTTTTGCGTTCAGCTGACCAATGCTAAACCCTAAACCCTAAACCCTAAACCCTAAACCCTAAACCCTAAGTTAAAACCTTCCTGCGGCTAATATGAGGGCCATAGGAGGGGTATATGAAGGGAAGCCTTTAAGAGGTACAAAACCTTGGGGTAGGAGTCTTAACCCCTTGAGTTTAGGGTTTTGGGTTTGGGGTTCAGGGTTTAGGGTTCAGGGTTTAGGGTTTAGGGTTTAGGGTTTAGGGTTTAGGGTTTAGGGTTTAGGGTCCAGAGGGGTTGAGGGCATTCAGGGTGTCACACTCGTCTTCCCTACGGAGCAAGCCCAGGCTTCCGTCTGCGAGACGCTGGGTTGCGAGGCGCGGTGCCCCAGCACCTTCCCTGAACTAAAAAAACCCTAAACCCTAAACCCTAAACCCTAAACCCTAAACCCTAAACCCTAAACCCTAATTTAGGGTTTAGGGTTTTAAAAACCCTAAACCCTAAGCCCTAATTTAAGGTTTAGGCTTTTTAACAGCCCTAAACCCTAGACCCAAAAAAGCCCTCACAGCCCCCTAGTACCCCTCAAAGCCCTGAAGTCCCTGGGCTTTGGGTTTAAGGTTTGGGGCTTCGGCTGTTTGCTCTCTCTCTCTCTCTCTCTCTCTCTCTCTCTCTCCTTTGTGGTACTTTACTGTAACTTTAATTTAGATCCTTACCCTTTTTGGGTTTATTGGGTTTCTTCATAAGGCAGCTAAAAGTTTAATTTATAGCTATCCTCCTGAGTGCAGCCAAGTCTCTCTCTCCCTCTCTCTGTCTCTCTCTCTCTCTCTCTGACGCACTCCTATGCTCTAAACGCCAATTCCTGCAACTCGAACCTCACGCCTTGGACCCTAACCCCGAACCCCTGCAACCTAAATTGATGGTTTAGGGGTTAGGGTTTAGGGTTTAGGGTTTAGGGTTTAGGGTTTAGGGCACACGCCCCGGAACCCAACAGGGTTTTGGCTTCAGGGGAAGAAGCTGTGCAATCGACCGACCGAAGGCATGATGGCTGGAGCACGGTTTAGGGTTTAGGGTTTAGGGTTTAATGTTGCCGTGTAGACCAGCTGCTGAAGCTCGCCAACTCCCCTGAAACCCTGAACCGTAATCCATAAACCCTAACCCTGAACCCTAAACTCTAACAGTACCCTAACCCTTATAAACCTTAAACCCTAAACCCTAAACCCTAAACCTCGACGCCGAAGCCGCTCTTCGATTAGTGTCTTCCCCGGCTGTCGTTTCAGGCTCCGCGCAATCGAGGGGCCCAAGCTGAATGGGTGAGCCGAGCCAGACTACCAGCTAATGAAGCCCCTAAGCATCCTAAACGCTAAGCCCCAAACCCTAGGGTTTAGGGTTTAGGGTTTAGGGTTTAGGGTTTAGGGTAGCAACAGCCTTCTTTGTCGCGCTGCCCTCAGCAGTATTTGGCCTGACCTTGTGAGCATCCTAAACCCTACCAAGCCACTTCTCCCTCAAGCCTACTAAGTCAAACTGAACCCTACCCCTATCAAACCAACTAAACTACTACCCCCTCTCAACCTCCTAAACCCTACTAAACCTACCAAGCCTACGTAACCCTACTAAAGCTGCCTTCACCCTGCCGAGCCCTGATCCCGAAACACTACACCCTGCCCTCCTGGTCAGGCAGTGGATTGGGTATGGGCCGGTCTCAACGCATCCATCCTTTCAGTGGGCTTGCAGGCGCAACCACAAATCTTAAGTTCCGAAAGGGCTGAGGGTTTAGGGTTCAGGGTTTTAGGGAGCCTAAACTAACTTGGGGGTCTGGGGTGCAGGCTTTGTGGTGGCTAGCTGGGGAGGTTAGGGCTTTAGGGCTTGGAGATAGGGGTGCGTGGGTTGTCCTAAACCCTAAACCCTAAACCCTAAACCCTAAACCCCAAACCCTAAACCCTAAACCCTGAAACCTCAACACCCTAAAACCCCAAAACCCTAACACCCTAAACCCTAAACCCCTAAACCCTAAACCAAAACCTTAAACCCTAACCCCTACCGAAACCCTAAACCCTAAGCCCTAAACCCTAAATTAACCCTACACCCTAAGCAGGCAGATGCTCGAGACGTACTGTTCTCGGCACCTCCCACAGCCGATGGACACAGCCCAGGCTCGACGCGGATGGTGCACAGCCATGTTTTTTCTACACAAATAGGGTTCAGGGTTCAGGGTTTAGGGGGTAGGGTTTACGACCTCAGGAGACATTCTATTTCCCCAAGCTGTGGAAACCCAAAGCCCTAGACCCTGAATCCTTGTTCACAGACAATCTCACAGGGGTATTACCCTAAGGGGTCCATGTACATCATCATTGTCTACCTGGGCCCCAAGGTATAGGAGGTACTTTAAGGCCTTTAAGGCCTTTAAGGCCTTTAAGGCCTTTAAGGCCTTTAATGCCCAAGTATTCCCTTTTTAGGTACATGGACCCTTAGGGTTGGGTGTCGATCTTGCTGAGAGTTCGAGTTTCGGGCACCTCTTTGAACGTGGGCCTTCATACACAGGGTGTTCAACAGAAAAGGGGGCCACTAAACCCTAAACCCTAAACCCTAAACCCTAAACCCTAAACCCTAAACCCTAAACCCTAAACCCTAAACCCTAAACCCTAAACCGTGGCTCTGGTTCAGGGTCAAAGCTTCCGCTCGAGGTGCAATCCTGCACTCAAAGCTGAAATGCTTCACCAGAGATGGCCTGTGGGCGGCTGAGAGACATCCCAGTGTTTCAAGGGATTCAGGCTCGCACCCCTCAGGTTGGGCCCCTAAAGGTTCCGCTTAATATACTCCTAATAGGGCCCTCAGGCTACCTAGTGGATCTTTAAGTCAGGGTCCCAACACACCCAAAGGGTACAACCTTCAGGGCCCCAGGTACGACCCCTACAGCGCTTGGATGGAAAGTCTGGATGTGGGGGTTCAGACTTGCGAGGGACCCTAAACCCCCAAGACTGCACCCCTCGACCCTACAGGGCGTTCCTGCAGTAGCCCTAAACCCTAAACCCTAAACCCCAAACCCCAAACCCCAAACCCCAAACCCCAAACCCTAAACCCTAAGCTAGAGCCCCGAACTATTCTCAACGCACCCTCAAGCCATCCTCCAAAACATCAAAAATGTCAGGATCCTAAAAGGGCCCCAGCTCCCTTTTCAGCATGAAGAGGGCTGTAATGGGGATGATATGACCCCATAAACCCTAATCCGAGCTTCTGTTTAATTGGTGGGCCCCCCCCCCCCCTCCACAATAAGGAATGCCGGGTTCCGCAATAGTTGGACCATGGCCCTGTATTGATTCTCTATTAAAAACAATAGGCTGCAGATCCCTGAGGTGCTGTAGCTTTGCGTCTCCGCAAGCAAAACAAGAAGCCTGCCGACAGATTTTTGAACCCCCCCAAAAAATAATTCCTTTAAATGTGGGGGGTTTGTCCCATACGAAATCCACCCTAATGGAAAGTAGTCTTCCGGCGGGCTTCCGGCCAAAAAAAATTCTTTAAATGTGGGGGTATTAATTAAACTGATGCTCGGATTACAAGCCTATTATAAACCCTATACTCCGCCTATAACCCCTAAAATCCCTTCCAACCCTACAAACCCACACGCCCTGTAGACCCTAAAAACCCTACAAACCCTATAAACCCACAAAGCCTATAGACCAGAAACCCTATAGACCCTATCAACCCTATAAACCCTACAAACCCTATCTACCTCATAAACCCTAAAGGCCCTGTAAACCCTGTCAACCCTAACCCTAAACCCTAAACCCTAAACCCTAAACCCTAAACCCTAAACCCTAAACCCTAAACCCTAAACCCTAAACCCTAAACCCTAAACCCTAAACCCTAAACCCTAAACCCGAAGGGCACAAGGAATGCCGCCTCAGGCTGGGCTTCGCAGTCCAGGAGCTGTGTCGCCATGTCGACGCCGCAGAGACCGCCAGGCTTAGGGTTTAGGGTTTAGGGTTTAGGGTTTAGGGTTTAGGGTTTAGGGTTTAGGGTTTAGGGTTTAGGGTTTAGGGTTTAGGGTTTAGGGTTTAGGGTTTAGGGTTTAGGGTTCAGCAGCTCCGGGTCGAGCAATCTCTAGTAGAGCCGCTGCTTGGGCTCTTGGAAAAAACCCACCCACCCAGAGAATCCCAAAACATTAAGAAATAAAAAGTGTATATTTTTCATCAGCAAGCCCTGTCCTCCAATCTCATTTGTTCTTTCTGCTCGTGTTTTTTGTCAAAGCCTCTTCCCCACCCCACCCCAGATCCTCAAAGGTTAGGCGCCTTCCCCACCCCACCCTAGATCCTCAAGGAGGACCTTGCCCAGTAAAACGGCGACCTTGCCCAGTAAAACGGCGACCTTGCCCAGTAAAACGGCCGTTTTACTGGGCAAGGTCGCCGTTTTACTGGGCAAGGTCGCCGTTTTACTGGGCAAGGTCGCCGTTTTACTGGGCAAGGTCGATTTTGGTCAAAAAATCGACCTTGCCCAGTAAAACGGCGACCTTGCCCAGTAACTCCTTAACATTTAAATTATATATGAAAGAGAGGTTTAGGGCTTAGGGCTTAGGGCTTAGGGCTTAGGGCTTAGGGCTTAGGGCTTAGGGCTTAGGGCTTAGGGTTTAGGGGGGGGGGGGGGGGGGGGGTTGTGAGGGTAGTTTCATGGGCCCGTAATATGGTCCCCTACCTCCCTTAAAGGTTTAGACGTATGAGCCCGTAATTTGTTTCGGGTATATAAGGCATGTAATAAGGGGTCCCCTTCTCAGGGACCATACTAAGGGATCATGCAACTACCTGGGGGGTGAAGTTTTCGGGGACGTGGGGTTTGGGGTTTAGGGTTTAGGGTTTAGGGTTTAGGGTTTCCCTAAACCCTACTATCCCTCAAGAGTCCCTTAATGGCGCCCTTGTCCTGGTTGCTTCTCGTTGTGGGGCCCCGCTTGGGAGCCCTAAACCCTAAACCTAAACCTGAAACCCCCACCCCGAAACCCTAGACCCTAAACCCTGAACCCCAAACCCTAAACCCTGAACCCTAAACCCTAACCCCAACCCCTAAACGCTAAACCCTCAGCCCGAAACCCTAAACCCTAAAGTAGGGTTTAGGGGTTAGGATTTAGGGTTTAGGGTTGAGGGCTGAAGTTGCAAAATTCAAGATTTCGGGATCCTGTCGCCCAAGCCCCAAACCTTAAACCCTAAACCCTAAACCCTAAACCCTAAATTTCAGGCCTAGCGGCACGGGCCGGCCCCCGCCCCCCAAAGCACGAAACCTTGAACCTTGGCACTGTCTTCTCTTTCCCGTGTCTTTGTCCTCTCCTTCTCTCTGTCTCTCTTTCTCCTGCCTTCGCCCCCCCTCCCTCCCCCCCACCCGGCGCGCGCGCGCGCGCGCACCCGCATCAGGAGTATCAGTGGGGTTGGTTTGGGGGCCTTACAAGCATTCTATGCATGCGTTTTGCCTTCGAAAAACCTTCAGAAAACGCTGTAAACACGTGTTTTTGGGCTTGGGAAGCCTTTTGGGACCCAGGAAAGGGATCATCATGAGCATCAGCGGCCTCTCCCAGGCCATCCAAAACCCCCTTAAACACGCCGATTGTATGTGCTTGAACGCTTGCGTGCCCACGAAACCCCCAAAAGCAAGACCCCGAATGCCCTTAAGGGCATTCGGGGTCCTGCTGTTCGGGTGTTTTGTAGGCACGAAGCCGTTCGAGCGCATAAAATGAGCGATTTTAGCGGCGTTTTTACGTGGACCCACAAAACACTCGGTGTTTACGAGGTTTTCTGCTGTTGGAACACCCCCCCAAACCGAGCATCATGAGCATCAGCTGGGTCTCTGGGCCGTGGGCCCGGACCCCCCCACGAAGCCCATGAGAAACGATGGCTTGCTGATGCGCCCGGACCCCGCGCATCAGCAGCATCAGCAGACCCCCCCCGACGTGGGTTTCGATGATGCGCACTTTGGGGGCGGGTCAAGGGCAACAGGGGTGGGGGTCGGAGGCACGCGTGAAAAACCTCATAAAAACACGGTATTTACGGTGATTTCAGCGTTTTTCAGCGTTTTTTATTGCCTTGGGCCCGCGGGCCAGGGCTGCTGATGCTCATGATGCTCGCCTGGTTTTGTGCTTCCGGTACCCCCCCCAAACCTTGAAAAACGTGGTTTCGGCCTGGCGCGCGCCCCATGTGAAAAGCTAGGGCCGATGATGCACACCCGTGAGGGTTTAATGGGGTGCTGCGGGTGTTTTGTGGCCTCGGTTTTTCGTAAACACCCATGGTTTTTTTACGAGGTTTTCGTGCTTTTCGCACCACCGCGTGTTGCGTCCCCTTGGATGCCGTTTTGGAGGCCTCTCGAAGGGCCCCGCGCGAATTTGAAGCAATTTTGGGCGGGGTCGGCGGCTCGGGCGCTCGCCCCTTAAAGCTAGCGCAAAAGTGCGACGCGGGCTCCGCCCTGCACCACGGGCGGTGCGGGGGCTGGGTTTAAGCGCAGGAGTGGGGGGGGGGGGGGGGGGGGGGGGGGGGGGGGGGGGGGGGGGGGGGGGGGGGGGTGGGGACAGAGGGGGGGGGGGGGGGGGGGGGGGGGGTGGGGGGGGGGGTAGGTAGGGTGCGGAGGGCAGCGGCAAAGAACTTCAACGTTTCCAAAAGAGCTCTCATGTCCTGTGCGAAAGTTTACGCGGTGTGGGTGGCCTGTTCCTGCACAGAAAAGCTGGCGGGGTACCCCCGCCCTAGGGAAAGAGGGAGGTGAAAACCTCTTTTTCCCATCCAACACGCCGCCAGGGTCGGCGGACCCTAAGCCCTAAACCCTAAACCCTAAACCCTGAATTTCTGGGTGCCCGTGCAGGTTTCGTCTCGGGCTGTCCATCTGGGAGCTCGATGGCAACACGGTGAAGGAGCACAACATCAACGATCTCCCTTTGATGCCTCGGTGCACACGGCACGCGCGAACCCCAAGACCCTGAAAGCCTGAAACCTGAGATCTGTTTATTTCCATGCATTGGGCTTTACCTGCAGCATACGATGATTACTTTCATGGTTATGATCTGAGTAGCTTGTCAATTTCCTATGATTCAGCTTCTGTTACGACAAGGTTTGCTTCTGTATCTGAAATACTAGATGCGTTCCCGGCATGCGGTTCATGGGTAGATGTAAGTTGAGTTGAAATGATGGAAACTAGATACGTCTAATCCGATCTAGGGCACTTAAAGCCCTACAAGAAGTCTTGAGGGTAATTACTACGGTAATTGCCTATATCCCTTGTAGCCCTGGTGAGGGTACTTCTGGCCCTACTATATACTTATGACCCTATTTAGGGTACATATAACCCTGCTATATACTTACAACCCCTTCAGTGTACCTATAACCCTACATCTAGCTACCCACTGAACCTCCAAAGCAGGACTACTTCGCTGGAGTCGCAGAGGCAGCCGCTTGCAGCGTCTTTCTTTCGATCGACCCGCGAACCCAAAAAACTGCAACCGCCAAACCCCAAAGCCAAAACCGCAAGCTCCCAAAAGGGTTTGGTTAGGGTTTAGGGTTTTGGGTTTAGAAGCTTAGTGTTTAGGGTTTAGATGCGGCAGGCAATTTCTTGATTGCTCGTCGTCTCATGCCACCACGAACCTAAACTCCGAAACCTCGAACCCCCAAACAAACACACGCCGACACACGCGACAATAACCCTAGACCTTAGCCTCAGGCTCACCCGACAGAAAAGGGAGCAAGCGCCAGAAACAAACCCCAAACCCCACACCCCTGAACCCTAAACGCAAACCAAAAACCCTAAACCCTAAACCCTAAACCCTAAGCCCTAAACCCTAAACCTACGAGGACGCCCACCTGCCCTTTGGCCCCTTCGGGGTCGTCGGCTTCGCCACGCCCGATGAAGCCTTGGCCTTGTGGGAGGCAGGGTGAGTTTACTGCTCTTCGCTTAAGAACTCCCAAAAAATTATATATATATATATATATATATTCATTTAAAAAAAAATATATATATATATATATATATATTTAAAAAGTAATAATCCCTATATATTATCCTTATAAGGAAGAATATATTTTTTTTTCTTTGGGGGGGGGGGGGTTCTTAAGCAATTGGTAGCTTAAGGGGGTTTAGGGGTTTAAGGTTTAGGGCTTGTGGGGTTCAGGGTAGGTTTCAGGGCTTTTTGGGTTTAGGAGTTTAGGGGTTTGGGGTTTGGGGGCTAAGGTTTAGTGCTTTTGGGGTTTAGGGGCTTTCGGGCTTTTGGGCAAACCTCACAAAGACCGAAACAGAGGGTTAGGGTTTGGGGTTGAGGGATTTAGGGATTAGGGTTGAAGGGGGGGAGGGGGGGGTCCCTTTCTGAATCAGGGTTTTACGGCTTGGGGGCTTTGGGTTCTGGGCCCTCGCGTTTTAGGATTTAAGCCCTTGCAATCTTACGACCGTGGCCCTTTGCAGGCGACCTACAACATAACCTGCACACCCGAGAAAAGATAAATGAAGAGAATGAAATACACGTACCTTTATTACCCCGCGGGCAAAGATAATAAATCCGCGGGCAAATGCAATAAAATGTACGAACTTTAAAGGATTTCATTCTAATAATACAATATGGTATGACATTAAGGTTTACCGCGTGTGCCCTTTTACGCGATTAAATGTACGTTTCCTGCAATAAATATTTATACGGGCGGCTATTTTATATTAAGTGAATGTACGCCCGTGTCATCCTAATAATAATACCGTAAAGCCAATAGTATTTTCTCTATAATATTATTACTGCAGGAATTACACATACTATAATTAGGGCGTCCATGTGAATACGAAATTCATTCATTCATTGGCCCTGGAAACACGGTCCCTTGTGCACACATGTCATGCGAATGCCAACCAAGATCGAGGATTCTGTTCCCTTGTTTCATTCATTTTATTACAAGCGAAGCGAGGAACGGGGGAGCGGTGTGAACGAATTAATTATAATGGGGGCTTTTGTTAGGTCTTTAGTGCCCCCATAATACTTTTATTGTTCACTCATGACACTCAGTTTTATTAAGTGGAGAGAATATGTGAATTAGTGAACAAACGCTTGGGGTTTAGGGTTATGTAGGGTGCAGGCTTTAAGTGCCTAAACCGACTCTGCTTGCACCGTGTCAGTCCTTGCAAACCCTCTAGAACCGAAAAGCCCGTCAAAAGAACCCCAAGCATCCTGCTATAGATCCGACAAGCCCTATAAGCCTTATACAGTCTCTGTAAGCCGTACACCCCACCCCATAAGATCCATAAATCCTAGTACCCTGAAACCCCTAATCTAAGGTTCTAAGTGTATGGGCCTTAAATTGGGTCCGCTGCAATACAACCCTTATATACACTATGCATACTAAGGGCCCGTATACTTCGGATACCTATAAACAAGGTAAGGGACCATACACACTAGGACCCAGAGTAGGCCCGTATTTCTTTTGTTAGGGTTTCATATAGTATAGGTTCCCTGTTAAGGCCCCTGTAAGCCAGAAAGGGTACCTGTTTATTCCTGGGTTATGCGTTGGTCCCCTAAACCCTAAACCCTAAACCCTAAACCCTAAACCCCAAACCCTAAACCCTAAACCCTAAACCCTAAACCCTAAACCCTAGGGCCCGTGGTGACCTCAGACCTCAGACCGCCATGCACAGCGGTGCCAGGCGACCCAGGAGCCGCAGGCACCCGATGCAACTGACTTGAACGCACCAGTAGGTTTAGGGTTTAGGGTTTAGGGTTTAGGGTTTAGGGTTTAGGGTTTAGGGTTTAGGGTTTAGGGTTTAGGGTTTAGGGTTTAGGGTTTAGGGTTTAGGGGGTTAGGGTTTAGGGTTTAGGGTTTAGGGTTTAGGGTTTAGGGTTTAGGGTTTAGGGTTTAGGGTTTAGGGTTTAGGGTTAGGGTTTAGGGTTTAGGGTTTAATTACGGTTTAGGGTTTCGGGATGATGTCCAGAAGTACTGCAGTAGCCACGACCTTCCCGGCAGCACTCATTACAGAACGTGGTCCGAGAACTAATCAGCATGCCATACCAACATCTCTTCAAAAGATTCTGATGCCGTCGCACCTTCGCAGGATCTACCCGAACCCGTTTAAAGCCAAAAGCAAACTACTCGAAACCAAAACTACAAAAGCAACTCAAGACCCAAGCGCTAAACCCAGTACCCGAAAGCCTATACTCCACACCTGAACCCCTGCAACCCCAAAAAGCCTGAAAACGAGAAGCCCTGAAGCCCGAAACCGCACACCCCCAAACCCTAAACCCCGTCCAAAAGGGGTTTAGGCTTTAGGGTTTAGGGTTTAGGGTTTAGGGTTTAGGGCTATAACCCAATTATACGTCTACTTCTAACCTACGTAAAGGACTTAGGGGACTTCGGGGGCGTATAAGTACAGCTAGAATTTGGGTTCGAAGTACCCTGAACCTTCAAGTAAGACCTTCAGCCCCTACACCCTGAAGCCCTAAGCCAAACGAAGGGCTCCTGGTTGAAGTGCCGAAGGTTTCGGTCGTCCCGAAACCCGGAGCTCTAAACCGTGGGTGTGTGAACCTGTGTTGCGCCTTGCAGTCTTTGGCGCACAGTGGCCCCCAAGCAATCTAGGGTTGAGGGTTTAGGGTTTAGGGTTTAGGGTTTAGGGTTTAGGTAGTGTCCGAGGGGGATTTACAAGCTTCTTGCATTGAGGCTACCGCTGAACTTGAAGCCCTAAGCAGTAGCCATACCCTACACCCTGAACCGCCCCAAGCCCGAAACCCCAAGCTCTCGGGTCCTGCATCCGCAGGACAACCCACGCCTAAAATCCTACAGAGTTATCTTGCCAGTTATTAACAGGGGACTGGGGGAATTAGGGCCCCTATATGAAACAGGGTTTTGCTTAGCAGTTTTTGGTGAGAGTCAACAACCCTAAACCCTAAACCCTACACCCTAAACCCCTAAACCCTAATTCCTTTAAGGACTAGCAAGCCCTAGAAGCCCTCAGCCGCAGGGTCACAGCCCGACTGCATCGGCCGGAGGGGACACCCAGATGGCCTGGGCAGAGCTTTCCTCCAGTAGCGTTTAGGGTTTAGGGTTTAGGGTTCAGGGTTTAGGGTTTAGGGTTTAGGGCTTAGGGTTTAGGGCTTAGGGTTTAGGGTTAGGGTTTAGGGCTTAGGGCTTAGGGCTTAGGGCTTAGGGTTTAGGGCTTAGGGCTTAGGGCTTTGGGCTTTGGGCTTTGGGCTTAGGGTTTAGGGTTTAGGGTTTAGGGTTAAAAAACATATAGGCATTTAGGATTTAGGGATTTGGGGTTTTGGGCTTAGGGTTCAGCATCTCGAAGTTCAAGCATTCACTAGTTTAGCAGCTCTTCAGGTGCCCGAGAAGTACCCACCCACCCGGAGAATCCCATCCCATACCATTACTAGGATGCCCAGTAGTATCCTTATTCCCTTTTTTGGGGGGTTTAGGTTCCCTTATAAACCCCTTTAAGCAAAAAAAGTGCACCCTTTTTAAGCCTAGTTTACTGGGCAGCCTAGGATATTCAAAAGTTTCACACAACCCAAACCCTAAGCACTTGGCTCTGCAGCCCGGAACGTGGGGGAACTTGTGGGGGACCTAGTTTTAGGGTTTAGGGTTTAGGGTTTAGGGTTTAGGGTTTAGGGTTCAGGGTTTAGGGTTTAGGGTTTAGGGTTTAGGGTTTGGGGTTTAGGGGACCTTGTAGGGGAGCTGTGAGGGACCTTGTGGTGACCTATGACCTTGCTATGACCTTGCACGCCAGTTTTCTGGACCTTGTAGTGACCTTGCCCGCAAATCTGTGACCTTGCCCGCTCTTTATATGGGCATAGGGATTTACGGTGTAGAGTTTAGGGTTTATAGGCTTATAGGGGTATAGCGTTCCCTGTACCCTAAGTCTTAACCCTCAAGCCTAAACATACGAAACCACGCAAGCCCAGGCCGAGGGAACACGAAGCACCTGCCCGCTCCTTACGCAAGCTGCAGCCGGGTGATGGGTTTAGGGTTTAGGGTTTAGGGTTTAGGGTTTAGGGTTTAGGGTTTAGGGTTTAGGGTTTAGGGTTTAGGGTTTAGGGCCCCTTACCTTCTTCAAAGGGTTCCGACCTATGGACCCTTGGGCTTTCTAGGGTATATCAGGGTCCCCCCCAATTAAGGGCCAACGCAAGTACCCTAAGATAGAGGGGTGTTTCACTACAACCACCTGCCGCTGGGAAGCTGAAAGGTTTGGGGAGCTTAACCTCAACCCCTAAACCCTAAACCCTAAACCCTAAACCCAAAACCCTAACAGCCCTCCCCTGAAGCAGGTTTGTGCGAATCCTGGTGCTCGACGTGCCGAAGAGGTCCATGGCTGCGTTGCACCTAGTCCAGGCACTGCGGGGGGGTTTAGGGTTTAGGGTCTAGGGGTGGGGGGGTGGGGGGTGGGGGGGCTATAGGAGACTAAACATTGCCAATCTTACTCCGTTATGTCCGCTACGTCATTGTGTCGCAAACTTCCCAAAAACACCCGTTCTAATCATTCCAAGGAAATACCTAACGCCCCAAAGTATGTAAAATAATGACACTTTTTATGGGTTCTGGGCTTTTTTTCTTCAGACTTTTGGAGTCCAGGTAGGCACCTTTGTTATTCTCTTCTTTTGTCAGGATCCCATATGTTAGATTATCCTTGTTCGGGGTTTATGACGATCCTGGTTTTAAGGTTTTGCAGGACTTGGTGTTTAGGATCCTTTGTCGCAGGTGTGTTTCTCTTTGGTGGTGGCGTGCGGGGGGCTGGGATGCTGGCTTGACACTGGGGGCAGGGTTTAGTAGGATTGCCTCAACCCTAAACCCTGAACCGCAAACACTCTCAAAAACCTAAAAGCCCTCAAAACCGCCAAAATCCTAAACGCACTTAAAGCTCTTCAAACCCTAAACCCGTTGTTCCGAGGTGTTGTTGCGGGGGTTGGGGGTTGCTGGATTGACCGTCGCAACTGCTGCTCCAGAGGCATATGTGCGCGTTTTCGATTTAGTAAACCGGTTTAGGGTTTAGGGTTTAGGGTTTAAGTAAGCCTCTGAAAAGTTCCATTTGGGGTATAGACAGACCATGCAATGCAATATCAATATTCGCGCAGAGATGAACAGATGCATACAGACGTACAAGCACATACGCATAAACACATAGAAACATATATACATGCATATACTCATACATGTTTATATTCATATACGCCCACATACATACGGTTACATACGAATTACCCAGATAGAAACCTATCTTCACTTCCCAACTCCCCCCCCCCCCCCCCCCCCCCCCCCCCCCCCGGCCCCCACCGCACCCCAAGCCTTGCTTTGTCCTAAACCCTAAACCCTAAACCCTAAACCCTAAACCCTAAACCCTAAAACCCTAAACCCTCAACCCTAAAACCATAAACCCTAAAGCCCCAAACCCTAAACGCTAAATCCCCTCCAGATTGCTGGGTCGGACGCCTCCGGCAAGGAACTCCCCGTTGACTGCGAGGTGACTATCGGAGGGTTTAAGGTTTATGCTTTAAATTCGGTTTAGGGTTTAGGGTTTACGGTTTAGGGTTTAGGCGTTTAAAGGGTTTATGGTTTAGGGTAGGGTTTGTAGGTAGGGTTTGTAGGGTTTTGTAGGTGTTTTTTGGGTTTAGAGGGTTTATGGGTTTTGTTGTGGGTTTATTTTGTAGGGTTTATCGTTTTTTTTTTGCATTTGGGGGGGGGGGGGGGTGCTGGGTTTAGAGGGTTCAGGGCACCATACCCTAGACCCTAACCCTAAACCCTGAGATCCTTACAAGCCCAGGGTCGAGTGCACTACTAGCCCCCCCCACCCCCCACAAAAAAAAGACAAACATGAGAATATACATACATATACAAACATGCCTCCGTATAAGGGCAGTGTAGGGAGGGTTTAGGGTTTACCCTAAACCCTAAACCCTAGGGTTCGGCACACTGTTGGGGAATCATACACCCTTTCTCCCTCTAGCGTGGCGGGTCTCTCTTGAAGAAAGCAACGGTTGAGGAGTGGTTTCGGAGCGGAGCTGCTAGGCTCGAAGTGTCTCACACACGGTTTAGAGTTTAGGGTTTGGGGTTTAGGGTTGTTAGGGTTGTTAGGGTTGTTAGGGTTGTTAGGGTTGTTAGGGTTGTTAGGGTTGTTTGGGTTGTTTGGGTTGTTAGGGTTGTTAGGGTTGTTAGGGTTGTTTAGGGTTTAGGGTTCAGGGTTTAGGGTTTAGGGTTCTTTTAGAAATTCAGGTTTAGGGCTTGCTGTAATATGGCGCGGATGCTGTGAAAGGTTACATAAACATAGAAATGCAAACGCCCTAGACCCTAAACCCTGACCCCTCAAATCCCCGATAGCAGCCTTTAGAAAGACCTGATCCCTAAATCCTACATTCCTCAACCCTAAACCCTGGACCCTGAACCCTAAACCCTAAACCCTAAACCAGAAGCCCGAACCAGTACTCCCAACAACTCAAACCCTAGACCCTGAACTGCAAAACCTCAAGCCTTAGAAATAGCGGATAAGCCCCCTTAAACCCTAAACCCTTAACCCTAAACCCTAAACCCTAAACCCTAAACCCTAAACCCTAAACCCTAAGTCGAACCTTTACACTCGGACAAGCGGAGGCTCTCCAGCGACTGCTTCGGAGCCTTTCCTCGGGGGCCGAGCCCGAGACTTCGGGGGGGCTGCCACAGGCGTGCCGGCGTGCCCTTCAAGGTTTAGGGTTTAGGGTTTAGAGTTTAGGGTTTAGGGTTTAGGGTTTAGGGTTTAGGGTTTAGGGCTTCAACCGCCCTAAATGCGAACCCCCTCAACCCTGAACTCCTAATAATCCCTTCCCCAACAATTGTCTGCAAGCTCCCTGGAGGCTCTCTTGCCGCTGCTTGGAGGAAACTGCAAGCCCTTCCTCCTGTGCACCGCACCCGTCCCAGCGGGGCTTCAACGGACCTGCGTTGGGTTTAGGGTTTAGGGTTCAGGGTTCAGGCTTCAGGGTTTAGGGTTTAGGGTTTAGGGTTTAAGGTCTTGGGCCAAAGCTCAGGGGCTGACGGTTGAAGCAGCCACAAGTCGTCGAACCCGAAGTGACCGAGCAAAAGGGCCATCGTCGCCAAAGCACAGAAAAGGAAGCCCACAACTCCTAAACCCTAAACCCTAAACCCTAAACCCTAAACCCTAACCCCTAAACCCTAAACCCCAAACCCTAAACCCTAAACCCTATCACAAATATCTTGTTTTTTTTTTTGTTTCAGGGCTTTGCTTGCGACACTTTATCGTTGCCCTTATTGGGCTTATATAAGAGGATTTTCTTTAGGAGTATTTGCCGAGGCGCCTTAAGGGCCATCCTACTTCTTTAGGCCCCCTGTGTCTTGGCCCTCAGGCGCCTCCAACTTCAAGGAGGGTTTAGGACTTTAGAGTTTAAAAACTAAACCCTGAACCCTAAACCCTAAACCCTGAACCCTGAACCCTAAACCCTAAACCCTAAACCCTAAGGGCTTACTGGGCTTAGGACCGCAGATGTGTAGAGCTTTCAACTCAAGAGGCTGTTGGGTTCCACAGCGCAGGCTCTGAAGCCTGAAAGCCCTATTTAAGGTTTAGGGTTTAGGGTTTAGGGTTTAGGGTTTAGGGTTTAGGGTGAGAGGTTCCCTGAACATACTCCTACTATGGCCCTTATAATCTCCCTTAGAGGATCTGTTAAAAGGATCCCCAAAACCCGAGGGCACAACCTTAGCGCCCATGATGGAAGCCCCCCTCGATGCTCGGCCCAAACTCCCAGAGCCGCAACACTGAAAGCGTTAAACCCCAAGGGTTTAGGGTATAAGGGTTTTAGGGTTCTAGGGTTTTAGGGTTTAAGGGTTTAAGGTTTTAAGGGTTTAAGGGTTTAGGGGTTTAGGGGTTTAGGGTTTTTGGTCTAGGGGTTTTGGTTCGGGAGTTTAGGGGTTAGGGAGCTTTGGGAATTTAGGGAGCTTCGGGAGCTTAGGGAGTTTAGGGAGTTTAGGGAGTTTAGGGAGCTTAGGGAGCTTAGGGAGCTTAGGGAGTTTAGGGAGTTTAGGGAGTTTAGGGTTTCGGGTTCAGGGCCCAAACCCCGAAACCAAAAAACAAACACCAAACTCCAAGTTCCAGGTGCCGGAGCGACCGGGCACCGGCTATTCCGAGGCTGGGAAGTTTGGGGAGCCGCTTTCTTGCCCTGGGTTTAGGGTTTAGGGTTTAGGGTTTAGGGTTTAGGGTTTAGGGTTTAGGGTTTTTGCTTTACTGCTTTAGCTTGGGGCGTAGAGGGTTAAGGTTTGGGAACACAAGGTCCCTGCAAAAGAGTAGAAGTAGTATTGCTGTTGGGGGCTTAGGTCCTTGGGTGTTCAGGGTGTGTGTTGGGTCTACTACCGGTTTCGGGGGCTCATGTTAAATTTCGAGCCCTGTGCACAGTTGAAGGCGTCTGAGGGGTTTAGGGCTTTGGGGGGTTTATGGGCATTTCCCCCAAATGGGGGTACCCTTGATATACCCCCAAATAGTACAATCCTGATTATAGGAACCCCCCAAGAGGGTAGCCCTATGTTGGGAAACCCCCATGTGTTCAGTTTTATTTCTCGGCGAAGGCCGAGTTGAGTTGTTTAGCGCACCCACGAAGCGCAGCTCATCCATGTTTAGGGTTTAACCCCTAAACCCTAAACCCTAAACCCTAAACCCTAAACCCTAAACCCTAAACCCTAAACCCTAAACCCTAAGCCCTAAACCCTAAACCCTTAACCCTAAACCCTAAACCCCAAACCCCAAACCCTAAAATCCCTTTTAGCCCCTCAACCATAAATATCTCAACCCCTATAATGAAGCCCTTACCATAAACCCTCGAAGCCAGAACTGTGTCCTCTTCCCCCAAGCCCTAAACCCTAAGCCCTAAACCCTAAGCCCTAAGCCCTAGACTCTAGTTCAGGTGCGCGATCTCCTCGACGTGGCCGAGCGCGCCGCGCTGCTGATCACTGCACAGTGCAAGCGCGTGCAGGCGGGCAGGGTTTGGGTTTAGGGTTGAGGGTTGAGGGTTTAGGGTTCAGGGTTTAGGGTTTAGGGTTTAGGGTTTAGGGTTAGCGTTTAGGGTCAGGGTTCAGGGTTCAGGGTTTAGGGCTATGGCTTAGGATGAGGGTGTAGGGTTTAGGGTCACATGAAGCGGCAACTGGTTGCTACTGGTATGGCGGCTACGGCTGATAGCATCAGGACTATGGTACGACATCGAAATAAGGTAGATGTACGCATTTCATGCACATAATTGTAGAAATATTCCTAGACCTAGATACTGTTGATAGTTACAGATAGGTAGATAGGCGTTAACATCGTCTTGGTTTCTGCACGCAGCAAACCTACCCAAAACAGTGAGAAACCAGGGGGACACGAAAGAACACTCCAATGGTCTCCACGAGCACATCCAAAACACGGCAAACCCCCCTGGTTCTTAGTAGGGGATGAGGGAATTAGGGCCCTATATATACTCTTGAATTGAAGGGATAGTATAGGGCCCCAATTTCCTCGTTCCCCAGTAAGAACCAGCCAGAAAATACGCCGAGACCACTCCAAGCGATCCCGAAAAAAACATCCCATTGGCACTCGAAGCCCAAAGAGCCCAATATCCCTTAAGGAACTAAACCCTAAACCCTAAACCCCCTTGAATCATACTAAGGATCCCGTTCTAGTTTAAGGTATATTCCTCAATTAAGGGGTTTTCGGCTTCGGCTCTCTGGAAGAACATCCCTTGAGAGAAGTCCCAGAGCACCCGAGGAGTTCACCCAGGACACTTTAAGAACCACGCTTCCTGGGAGCATTCCGAGATCACGGCTTCTCTCCACACGAAACATCGAAGCTTGCAGGTACGGGATGAGTCAAAATTTCTATTCACAGCCGCTCTGTAGACCGGATGTAATTCCCCTAAGGATCCATCCACCTATATAGTATATCCGTATCCTTGGGCCCTAAAGCTACTTTATAGGAACCCCTGAAAGGCCCAAGTATATACTATTTGGGTGCATGGATCCTTAGGGGTTCAGAATCGTAACTGGTGGCCTAGAGGTCCAACAAGGCGAGCATGCCTCGAGGAAAAGCCACCATGGTCCGGGCCGTGCGCGCAGTGTAATATAGGGGTCGGAGCAGCAGTGTTTAGGGTTTAGGGTTTAGGGTTAGAATAGTTTTTTTTTTTTTGGGGGGTGGGGGGGGGGGGGGGGGTTATTCTAGTGTAATTATATAGGGACCTTAAGGGAATACGATTAGTAATTATTCCGACCCCTATAATCGCCACGCCCGCACCCAGGCGACTGCACGAATTGCGTCCAAGAGAGGGAGCAGAAGCATGGCGCCGTTTTCTCCGTTCCGGAAAGTGTATTGCTGAGTGTTGTCACACTACTTCCTAAAACCCTTGGGGAGTTCGTAGACCCTGAGCCTTAAACACGTACTTCCTAAACCCTTAATATCTTGATTCCTACACCCTTAGCCTATCTTAGCCTAAACCCCCCAAACCCGAAACAAAGGCCCTGAAACTTCTAACCCTAAACCTAAACCCGAAAAGTATACCCATGAACCCGAAACCCCAAACCCTAAATCCCTAGTCTACTCATCCCAGGGTCTCCCAGCAGACGCCTTCCGCCTAGTCGGACCGCAGCAGTGGCTTGCGTGCAGGCCTTTTTTTTTTTTTTTTTTTGGGGGGGGGGGTGGGGGGGGGGGGGGGAGAGAGCCTCAGTTGAGAAGCAGCATTTGGGGTTTAGTGTTTAGGGTTGAGGGTGTTTGCTAGGGGTTTAAATGGGTTTTACAAGAGTCTATAGAGGTGATTAAAAGAGTTTACAAGGGCTTACAAGGGTTTAAGGGTTTACATGGGTTTAAGGAGTTTAAAGGGCTTAAAGGGGCTTCAGGGTTTAATTGGTGTTTTGGGCGTTTGGGCGGTTCAGGGGATTGAGGGTTTCGGTGCTCAGGTGATTATAGGGCTTGTAGGGATAGGGATCAGGGGATTTAGGGGGGGCAGGGGGATGATTTGTAGCTTTGCGCTTCTTAGGGTGCCAGGTTTCAGGGGTTTTGGTTTCCTAAACCCTACACCCTAAACCTAAACCCCAAACCCTAATTCAGGGCTACAGGTCTGCTGTAGGATGTCGACTTAGCGTCTGTTTAGGCCCCCGGAACGTGAACCGTGAACCGCAACATCATGGAAAACCTTAAGCCTAAGAGACAAAAAAGAACAAAAGCAACCCGAAAGCCTCTAAACTCTAAACCCTCCAGACGATCCGTGACCCCAAAAGCCTGAACCTTGTAGGGAGGTAGCGTGTAGGTGTGGAGATAGGGTTTACAGGGCCCGGGCTTAGGAGTTCCGGTCCTAAACCCCATAAACCCTAAACCCTAAACCCTAAGCCCTAAACCCTAATCCCTAAACCCTGTAACACCCTCAGCCCCAACCGCAAGGGTAGGGCAGCGCTTGTGCATTGCCTCACAGGACTGAATGTTTAGTTAGGGTATCAGGCTTAGAGATTGCAAGCCTAAGGCCTAAACCCTAAACCCTAAACCCTAAACCCTAAACCCCAAACCCCAAACGCCAGACCCTAAACCCTAAACCTAGCCCTAAACCCTAAAGTCAGGATTCAGGGCTTCGGATCGGATGGAGTCCCATCAGGCGCGTGGCTGCAAGGGAGGAGTTGGAGAAGGAGGTCTCCTTGCAAGGCGCAGAAACCCTCACCCGGGTTAAGGGTTTAGGGTTTAGGGTTTCGTTGTAAACCCCCAAACTCATAACTTCGCCCCGCAAACTACAAGAACACTCAAACTTCAAAGGCTCTAGAAGCCCAAACCCTTGTAGGCTCCTTGAACCTTCAAAGCTCTCATCACAAAAAGCACCTAAACTTGAATCCAAAACCCCTTGAGCTCCCCGCTGAGCGCTCGAGAGCTTCTACACGCGATTTCAGAACCAAAGCCCTATGCCCGAAAACCCGAAACCCTAAACCTTCGAACCCTAATCCCTAAACCCTAAACCCTAAACCTTTGAGGTGCACCCAGGGACGTGGCTTCCGCCTGCGCAGAGGGCATCGGCAGGCTGGGCCTTGGGACTCCTCAACCGTAAGCCCAAATACCTTGGGTTTAGGGTTTAGGGTTTAGGGTTTAGGATTTAGGGTTGGGACGTTCCCTCTTGTACTAACAGTCTTTTGGGGGTTGCAATACGGGGGTACTCTAATCCCCATGAAGGACTGTTCGTATGAGGGGAAACATCCCAACCTAATACCTGTTATCCTAAACCCGAAACCCTAAACCCTAAACCCTCAACAGCCCGACAACCATAACATCCTACACCCGTTCGAGCCGAAAGCCCTCGGTTTAGGGTTTAGGGTTTGGGGTTTGGGGTTTAGGGATTTGAGTTGAACCCCACAGACCTACTCCTTAAGACCCTGAATCCCTGAACCCCTACTATAGGGGTCGGAATAATTACCAATAGTGTTCCCTTCCGGTCCCTTTACAAAAATAATTGCTGCAATCACCCGCCCCCCCCCCCCCCCCCCAAAAAAAAAAAAAAAAATAATAACTGTTCTAATTATTAAGGCCCCTATATTAAACTACTGCATTTGCGTTCCTTAGACCCCGGGATCTATTTCTTACGTCCTCAATCTGAGTTGGGCTCCTGGTACGACGTGGGGAATCAGTGGGGAAGTCCAGAACATCTAAAGACAATGAGGTCCTAAGCCCTGAGCCCCTAGCTGGCTTCAGGGTTTTGGGTTAGGGTTTAGGGCTAAGTGTTTAGGTTTGATTTTCACCAAGCTTCAATCCCCCATCGTTACAGCATCAGGGAAGAATAAGTGGGACTTTGCTGGACTCAAGAGCTTGTGATGTAGGGCTTATAGGGCCTGGGGCTTAGGGTGCATCTAAGGGTAGTTACATGGGTGCTTAATATGGTCCCTTACCTCCTTAAAGTGTTCTGAAGTATGGGCCCTTATAAGGTTTTTAAGGGGTATATAAGGGGTGCCCTTTTAAGGGCCCATACTCAGGGACCACGTCTAGTGCAGGACTTCTCCAGCACCGGCTCTGACAGCGCCCCCTGCTTTACGAGGCAAGTGTTGGGGTTTCATGTGGTGGGAGCCTAAACCCCTAAACCCCTAAACCACTAAACCACTAAACCTTAAACCCCTAAAGCCCTAAACCCCGAAACCCTAGACCCCAAACGCGAAACCCTAAGCCCCTAAACCCCACACTGAAGGGCCGCAGGACGGTTGGCAAAAACTGCTATGTAAAACTAAGTTCCAAACTCAAGCCCTAAACTGTAAGCCCTAAACCAAGCCTAACGGTTGGGATGTTCCCCCTCATACTAACATTCCTTAATAGGGAAAAGAGTACCCCCCCCTATGATAACTCCTATGCGGGACTGTTAGTATGAGGGGGAACATCCCCAAGTATTAGGGTTTAAACCCTAAACCCTAAACCCTTGAAGAAGACCCTCGCCCCGCCAAGGTACATCTCAACGACCGCTTCCTCGTGGGCCGTTTGTTTGCTCAGGGAAGGGCTGCGGAACAAGCCCCTTGAGCCACCATGTGTGTGTGAAGCACCACATCGTCGCATGTCACAACGACTTCGCAGTTCGTATGAGCATAGCTCTACAAGCATCAGACACCAGAGATATGTACAAACCTCTTTTTACTCTGAGACAGTCATGTGCTTTGCTGCAAAGGATTCTCCAATTCGAGTCGTTGCCATGGCTGATTCTGATGTTGGGACTGTAGTGGGCCTTCCTGAAGATCCCATGCAACGAGAGGTTATGGTAGCCCAAGCGCAAGCTGCTGGGGCAGCTCCGAATACCGAGCACCCGACGATGAACGGAGTCGGTGCAACCCGGGCCAGGTCGGGAGTGACGAATCTGCTGGCAGAGGAGAGTTCCACTTCGGCGACAGAGGAGACAGTTTCCTTTGCTGGACGAGAGGGAGCTCCGCCAACTGAAGGGGGTCCTGGTGGTACAGTGGTTCGAGAGACCGCATCGCAGCATAGTCAGGCGGGGCCCGAGAGGCTTGGAACGAACTATGACTGTGGCGGAGCTGGACCCGCTGAACCGACCGCCAGGAGAGAGCAGGTCACCGCAACTGGCTACAGCACTCCAAGGTCTACAAGACTTCTGCAGAATGGTGGCCAGCATTGGGTGGCTGGATTGGAAATGCCGAGCTGGGTTACCCGGCTGGGATCCTACCTGTCGCTGGGCCCGCAGAACGAGTTTTTTCCAAGTCCCCTTGGCGGAAGCCAGGGGTCCCAGAGGTCTTTGCCAGGAGGACCTACCTTTACTTTGCGACCCCCGAGCAGGCCACCTACTTCCCCGGAGACGCCAAGTTCCTCGAGCCTTCCTCAGGAGGCAATTCAGGCTGAAGTTCAGCGGCAACTTGGACAGGTGTTGCAGAAACTTCAAGAGGCTGAGCGGAGGAATGAGCGTTTGGAGCAAGAGCTGGCAGCTGAAAGGGGGCAAGCGATGGCGATGAAGGAGCTGTATGGAATTAGTCCCACAGAACCAAGTCGCCCTTCTGATCAAGTTCCATCAGGTCTTCAAGGAGTTCTAGGTCCCACAGAACCAAGTCGCCATCCCGATCAAGTTCCCTCAGGTCTTCAAGGAGTTCTAGGTCCCACAGAACCAAGTCGCCATCCCGATCAAGTTCCATCAGGCCTTCAAGGAGTTCTAGGTCCCACTGAACCAAGTCGCCAACCGGATCAAGTCCCACCAGGCCTTACAGGTGATCTCCGGGGTGAGTGGAATCTGAGGTCAACTGATGCTCAAGGGTCCCAAGCGCCGAGCTTCTTGAGGTCGTTGTTAAGCGGAGGATCTAGGCCACCTACTCCCCCGATTCCCCGGGAACCATCGAGTCCTACTGGAGGCCCTGTGGTGGAGATGTTGGCAAAGGGAATCAAGCAACTTCAGGAACTTCAAGCTCAAAATCTGTCGAAGACAACCTCGACTACAGCATCCCAGGAGGTGGTTAAGCCAGGGACAGTGGCACTGAGCCCACTACCCGAGTACGTGCCTCGGATGGTGCAGGTTCCTCGGCGCTACAGCTGCAAGACTGGATGGAAGTGGCCACGACGGTGTTAGCTGATGTGAGTGAGAATAGCGGCACTTGGTGGTCGGCAGTCATGGAATTGGTCAACGGGACCTATGCCCGGTGGTTGGCAGCCACCCCTTTGGAGCGGTTGCAGATCACGCCGGAAGGGGCCGAAGCTTTGTGCACAGGACGTTGGACCCGGGTCAATGCCAGGACTGCTTCCATGTTGTTGTCTGCGATGGGTGAAGAGCTTCGTGGAGAGATGATAAGTCAAAGGATTACCCAGAGCTCCCCGCGGATGGTGTTCCGCCTCTTTGTGTTGTTCCAGCCTGGAGGGAGTGCTGAAAGGCAAGAGGTCCTGAGGAAGCTTCAGAATCCAGGTGAGTTTGTGGCCGGCGATGGTTTGGCGGAGGCGCTAAAAACCTTGAGGTGCTGGCCGAGATGGCTGGCCCGGTGCAAGTCTGTCAACATGTCGCCTCCCGATGCCTCGGTCATGGTCAGGGGGCTGATGAACCTTACAACCAAGCATATATCGGCCTCTCCCGACGCCACATTCAGGACAGCAATGCCACTGGAGGACCAGATGGTGGAAAGAGCCCGGAGAAGACTCCAAGCTCAATGAAGGTCCTGGTGGTCAAGGATATCCGGGTATGTTCCTTGCAGTCATCGTCCTCGGCCCTATTGGACTCGGGAGCCACTCATTCGTTGAGAACCGCTGGAAGTTGGGATGAGTGGCAGAAGGCAGAGGAGGTGGAGGTGCAGCTGGCAGGAAATCATGCTCTGAAGATGAAGATCACTGCCCTTGATACTCTTCTGATGCCACCACAATCGGCTCCCGGCGTTGACCGGCAATCCCAGCAGACGATCGTTCCTCTGGGCGAGCTGGTAAAAATCCTCGGCTACACCATGAAGTGGTCCCAGGAGGAGTGCGTCTTGGAGGACCCCAATGGAGAGGTCATTCACCTGAGTACCAACTCAGGATGTCCCCAGCTGTGCGAGGCTGAAGCGTTGGCACTGATCGCCCGCCTGGAAGAGCGAAAGCGAGAGCGCCTCGAGAATGAGACCTTGGCTACAGAGGACAGAATCGCGAAGGTGGCCTCCTACATGGACCGGTCTTGGTTTGAGTACCTGCTGAACTACACATCCAACAACAATAAGGAGGCAGGACTTCGAGCTCTACGGGATGTGCCATTTCTGAGGGAAGTTCCGGGGGAATGCATAAATGGGCTGATGCCTCCTGGAGAACCAAAGGGAGGATGGGAGACCATGAAGAAGGTGACTTACCTGACAAGGGCCCAGCGACGAACCTTGCTCACCGCTAAGAAGTGGATAGTGCATCTCTTCGCTGGGGAGGAGGGACACATGGAGTTCTACAAGTTCCATGATGGCGACACGGTGGTCTTGGAGGTGGACATCAGACAAAGTCGAGGACATAACCTCCTGGGTGATTCGCCAACATGGGAGATGCTTCTGTGGGGGGCCCGTATGGGCAAGATCGACATGCTTTGTGGAGGACCACCGGGTCGTGATGGGCTTGCGTTTTGTCCCAAGGAGCCGGACGCTACGACCCTCAAGCCTTTGTCTTTGATCTCGAGAATGCTCTGGCTGTATGTGGTGGCGGCAACCGGAAGGATGACTATGGCTAAGGGGGCACTCCGTCATAAGGAAGTTGGCTTCGTGATTGAGCACCCCGGGCCTACTACTTCATCGCCACCACAACCAAGGGACCAGCGCCCATTCCTATGGGAAACCAACATGTGGAAGGAGTTTAAGGGCGAGACCGGCATGTTCGAGGTCGCGTTTGAGCAAGGGGGAACCGGAGCATCGTCGAGAATGAGCACGGTGTTGGGAACCAACGTTCCCTACTTAAGAGGCTTGGAGGGCATCAAGTCGGACGACAACCTGAAGGACCAGCCAGAAGGTGCAGATCGAAGCCGATGGTCACCTGGGCTAGTGAGGGCATTGACCATTGCTTTCCATATGTGGTCACGGAGTCCAAGGGTGTATGCCATGAGTCCCGAAAGATGGAAGGCCCATGTAGATGCATCTCATCTCCCGTACCATAGGGACTGCTCGACATGCGTCATGGCAAGAGGGACTGGAAGGCGCCACGCTCGAGTCCATCATCCGGACAGCTATGTCCTTACTTCAGACCTCTCGGGGCCGCTGAAGCCAGGACTAGATGCAGCTGTTAAGGGAACGCCGGCTTGCAACATCCGCTACCTGCTGGTTGCCAAGTACCTCTTTCCCAAGGAGTTCGTGCGTGCCTACACCAAAAGGGAACCACCGTCTGAGGAGGGTATGGTCGAGCAATCCCAACCTGAACCTGGAGAAGCAGGACTTCAACTTGAGGAAGAAGACGACCAGCTGCTCCCGGATGATGAGGCCGACTACGAACCTTCCATCGATGATGAGGATCACAATGAAGAAGGTGGAGAGCAGTTGGTGGATCTGATTGAACCCTTAGACAACAAGGATGGGGAAGCGAGCAATGAGCGGGAGGAGGAATTGGCAACTCATGATTCTGAAGATGGTGGTCCTAAAGGGCATGCAGCAATGAGAACTGGAGATTGCCGTCCCCCCGAGATGACTTCGCTGGTGTTTGCTGTCGGGATACCCAACAATAAGACCGCTACGATCAAGGGCGCTTTGCAGGACGTCATCCTGTACCTGGGTGCCCATGGCCTACCAGTCCTTTGATTCCACTCCGACCGCGGTGAATACTATTCAGCAGCCTTCAAGTCCTGGTTGAGAGAGCAGGGAATTCGAGGAACCTGGGCGGAACCCGGAATTCCGCAAACCAATGGTCATGCCGAAGCCACCGTGAAGTGGATTAAGAACAGGATCCGAACTATGTTGGTGGCTAGTGAACTACCTGTTCGTCTTTGGCCAGCAGCGGCTGAAACGGCAGCTGCCGAACAGCGAGCTGCGGTGCTGGGTTGGAAATCTTCACTCCTGGCTCCTTTCGGCACAACCGTACATGTGAAAAAGAGACCGTACACCGCGCTTGGTCCGAGGAGGAGTGGAGATACGTTCGATCCTCGGTGGATGAAGGGGAGATATGCTGGTTTGAGTGGATTACTGGATCGAGGCCACTTGGTCTATCTTCCGGCAGATGAGAACAAGGCTGAAGGTTTCTTCCACACTTTCCATGTGAGGCCCAACCTGGTGGATCCCGGCGGGCCAACTGCAACATTGGAGGCAGATGAGGTCGTGAAACCGGCTACTCGTTTGTCCGAAAAAACCAAACTCGCCGATGTGGTTCCTAGAGTTGCAGTACTGGAGAGGGTGAAGCCGGGAGCGATCGAGGAGGAGGCTCAGCAGGTGTTGGAGATCAATGAGGAGGATGAAGACATGAAGTTTGTGGAAAGGTGGTTCAGGGACGGACCGTTACCCAACTTCAAGGCTGGAGCATATCGACATGGAGGTGTGGTTGGGGTGATGAATACTACATCGCAATATCCTCATCTAGTGCAAGTGCTCACCAGAATCCTACAGCGCTCCATGCCTGAGGCAACCTTCACAGCTGTACTGGTGTCCACCAACACTTTGAAGGAGTTCCATCAGGATGTTAATAACGATGCGACCACGAAGAACTTCCTGGTGCCAGTCGTGTGTCCGTCAAAAGGAGGAGGAGTGTGGGTTCAACTACAACCTGGAGACGTGGTTCAGGGAGAACTGAGTCAACGACCGAATGCCAAGGGAGAACTGGTGTTTGGAAATTTGCACCCGCTCGTAAAGGGGAAGTGCATCTCTTTCTCCCCGAGGAGGTCCCATGAGGTTATGGAATGGACTGGTGATCGAGTTGTGATCATTGGATATACCCCCCACTGCCACGGACATATGGACTACCCGATGATTAAGACGCTGGAGAGCCTAGGTTTTCAACCTCCTCTATCACAACTACCAGAGTACTACATCCCGACTCCCGAGATTGCGAAGATTGACCTCAATCACCCCACTGAAGTCACAACCGAGAAGGATGATGAGCAGGTGGAACCAATGGTGAACGCAAGGGATTGGGAGATGTTTCTGGAGGTTGAAAGTGGTGAAGCGAGCTTAGGAGGAGGTGGAGGCGATCTGTTTGGATCAACCGGCCCAACAATCTGCAAGGCGGAGGTCGGCTACACACCCGACATCGAGGAATTGCTGGCTTCGTTGAAGGCACCGTTGGACGTGGTACATAATGTTGATCCCCAAGAAGTTCTCCGTTCTCTGGAAAAGTGGCTGCCAGCAATTCAAAAGGAAGTTAAAAGCGTGGAGCATGCCATCGAGAGATTGAGGAGGGGGACAGCGGCACGTGCTGGTTGGCTGCAAAGGAAGGGGGCCCAACGACTTCTCACCAAGTTCGTCTACACGGTGAAGCCGAATGACAAGGCCGACCTCAATGACCCGTCGACCTGGTTCAAGCGAACGGCTCGGCTGGTGGTTTGTGGCAATATGGCAGTCAATAGCAATCCCGACCTCTTCACTGAATCAGCTCCGGCTGAAGCAGTCCGAGCGGCTCTGACCCTCACTTGCAAGAACCAGTGGTCGGTGGGAATACTCGATGTCGTCACAGCCTTCTTGAAGACACCCATGGGAAGATCCACAAGGGATCCCGTCGTGGTAGTCCAGCCACCCAAGCTGTTGGAGCGCTTGAAGATCATCGAGGAGTTCGAGCTTTGGGGCCTAATCAAGGCGCTATATGGACTCAAGGAGTCACCCCGCTTGTGGGGAAGCTATAGAGACCATGAGCTGGAGTCCCTCACCCTGACGATCAATGATAAGATCCTGCAGCTCAGAAAGGGAAAGGCGGTGGCTGCGTGGTGGACCGTCTTGGGCTCTAACCAGGAGATCATGGCAGTTATCGTGATCTATGTGGACGATTTCATGATCTGTGGTAGTCGGGAAACCATCATGAAGTTGGCCCAGGGGATCCAAGGACTATGGGAAACCACGGAATTGCAGATGATATCGCCACAACAACCCGTTCGGTTCTTGGGAATGGAGATATGTCTTCGGGGAGGAGGAGAAGAACCAATGTCCTTTGGAATCACCCAAGAAGCCTACATCCGCGAGCTCCTAAGGACGAGGAAGGTTGCCGCCACCCAGTTGGATCGTGTTCCGTTGAGCAAGGACTCAGCATCTTTCTCCGTCTTGGACAACGACATCCCACCCAATGACTTTGATGTCCACCTGGCCCAACAACTCACAGGAGAGCTGCTTTGGGTTTCTCAGCGGAGCCGCCCGGAGCTGTCATTTGTGACCTCACTCATGTCGGCATTGACCACGATGGCTCCAAGCCGAGTGATCACAATTGGTATGAAGGCCCTGGGGTACTTGCAGCGAACGCAAGCCCGACAATTGACCATCGGCTACGACGGGTCTGGCTTAGCGCTATTCTGTGATGCGGCCTATGCTCCGGAATCTGGAAGGTCGCACTCGGGATGGGCGGTGTTTTGGGCTGGCTCAGCAATCGTATGGAGATCGGGAAGGCAAAGTGTGATATCGCTCTCCACGGCGGAGAGTGAACTTATCTCCATGTTGGACGGAGCGGTGGCAACCCTGGGAGTGGAAGCTTTGCTACAGGATATTGGGGTGGAGGTCTCAGCACGTACCATCTACACCGACAGCACCTCTGCTTTGGCAATTTCGTCTGGTAGTGGTGGATGGCGTACTCGGCACCTCCGCATAAAGGCTGGGTGGCTGCAAGAACAGCTGGATGCTGGCATCATCATGGTGAAGCACTGTGCTGGAAGAATTCAGCTAGCAGACCTATTAACAAAGGCCCTCGCTGCCCAGAGGATCAATGACCTCCTCAGTCTTTGGGGAGTGACCGACGGCTCATCGACAAGCAGAACAGAAACGTCATCGAGTTCAGGTGGAGCGGCAAAGGTTCTGCTGGCCCTCGTGTGCTGCCTACTGATAGTGGGAGCTAAGGCGGAAGAGGAGGCCCTTGGAGTTCAGAGTCGACTTTCTGTTGATTGGGACTTGGTGGGGTGGCTACTTCTGTTTCTGGCGGTCGCAGGGGTTGTGGCAATATGGGAGGCGATGAAGTGGGTGACCACTGAAGTATGGGATTGGACTCCAGGGTCAGGAACGAGGAAGTTGAGAAAGCTTCAAAGGGTAGCGACAAGAAGGGCGATTGAGGCAGAGATTCGAAGGCGAGCCAAGGAGGAGAGCGATGATGCGACCCCTTCGACCCGGCCAACTACTTCTTCGACCCGACCAGCTACTTCTTCGACCCAACCAGCTACTTCTTCGACCCAACCAGCTACTTCTTCGACCCGACCAGCTACTTCTTCGACCCAACCTGCCACTCTGTCGACTCTCAATGACAAGCTCCGAATCCAAGCGCCAGCACCGATGAATCCGACTGGAATGTCCACAACACCGAGATCTACACGTGATTCGCAACAACCGAGCCATCTACAGAGATCTCCAGCTACCAGCACTACGAGCTATGGCGACTGGAATGAAGGTGAGTTTCCTTCAGATCGCACAAGGGTGTGCATTGACGTTATCATGCTCATGGTGGTGGAGGAGATCAAGACTGGACTTCGTGAAGAAGGTTTGTCGCTTACTGGCACGAAGGAAGTTTTGGCGGCGAGGTTGGCGACCCACATCGAGGAGGGAGTGTTCCCAGCGAGGGAATTGCCCACCACGAGACAGCTGAAGTATGTCCTCTACATCTGGCGAGAAAGGAACTTGGCTTTCAAGGTTCGTCTGAGATGGGGCGATATCTGTACAAAGGGACGAGTTTCCAGATGGATTAGTATGTGGAAAAATGCTGGTGAGGAACTTCAGTGAGGCGAAGGCGATGGGATGTGGATATTGGGGCTGCAGCACCTATCGAAGCTGCAGAGGAGGAGTGAAGAAGACCCTCGCCCCGCCAAGGTACATCTCAACGACCGCTTCCTCGTGGGCCGTTTGTTTGCTCAGGGAAGGGCTGCGGAACAAGCCCCTTGAGCCACCATGTGTGTGTGAAGCACCACATCGTCGCATGTCACAACGACTTCGCAGTTCGTATGAGCATAGCTCTACAAGCATCAGACACCAGAGATATGTACAAACCTCTTTTTACTCTGAGACAGTCATGTGCTTTGCTGCAAAGGATTCTCCAATTCGAGTCGTTGCCATGGCTGATTCTGATGTTGGGACTGTAGTGGGCCTTCCTGAAGATCCCATGCAACGAGAACCCTAAACCCAAAACCCAAAACCCTAAACCCTAAACCCTAAACCCTAAACCCGTTGCAGTGGTCAGAAGCAGGCGCTCGCATTGGCAGCCCCCGGGATGACTTGTCCGACGTGGTGAGGTACGAAAGGCCAGGAGTTTAGGGTTTAGGGTTTAGGGTTTAGGGTTTAGGGTTTAGGGTTTAGGGTTTAGGGTTTAGGGTTTAGGGGTTTAGGGGTTTAGGGGTTTAGGGTTTAGGGTTTAGGGTTTAGGGTTTAGGGTTTAGGGCAAGGGTTGGGTTGTAGGGTTTAGGGCGTATTGGTAGGGATCAGGGTTTGAGGTTTAGGGCTTAGGGCTTATTTGGCGTTTGGGGCAGGAGTTTAGGGTAGATTTCGGGGTTTAGGCTTTTAGGGGTTCAGGGTTTAGGGGCTTTGGGGTTTAGGGTTTGAGGGTTCAGGGTTGAGAGTTTCATGGTTCAGGCTTGAGGTGCGTTGGGGTTTAGGGTTTTAGGGTTTCGGTTTGTTTCAGTGTAGGGCCCTGTAGGGCTGAACCAGTGGCTTTGGGGTTGAGTTGGGGGGTCTAGCGAGGATTTGCTGTACGGATTTGGGTTTGGGTGCCTCTGAGGCATCCCTGGGGGTGAGGGTTTAGGGTTCAGGGTTCAGGGTTTCGGGTTTCGGGTTTACGGCCTTAAATCACCAACCCCAAGCTACGTCCTTGCTTTCAATTTGCAGCTGGTTTGTTCGCGCAGCCCTCAGAAGCAGAGGATCTTTATTCACCGACGGGGAGAGATATTGCTGGAGATGAGCAGCGCATGAACCTTCACGGAAGCCCCCAGTCCGATCTCTAAACCCTAAACCCTAAACCCTTGCTACAGGGTCAAGCGCTTCCCAGCAACACAAACACGAGGCCGCTGTCGGCAGCCGCTTCACCAGCGGGGAAGCTCATTCGATTCCCCAAACCCTAAACCCCAAACCCCTGCAAACCCTAAACCTCAAACCCTGAACCCTAAACCCTAAACCCCAAACCCTTTAAGCCCAAACCCTAAAGCCCTAAACGCTTATGAGGTTGGACGTGCCAGGCGCGCTCACAGGGCTTAGGGGGTTTCAATGGTGTCCTGAAGGGTTCTAGTGGCCTGAACAGTAGGGCTTTCCCCCAGCCCGGACGAGAGAGGATTGTGGTGTTGAGGGCTTAGGGTTTTTAGGGCTTTTGTTGGGTTTACGGTGTAGGCGTTTAGGGTTTAGGGTTTTGGGTTTATCGGACCTTCAACCACAAATAGACCTCAAAATCCGAAAACCCCCCCCCCCCCCTTCGAAGCCTGTAAGCCCGACGCCCCACACCACCCTCCCCAAAAAACCCGAATCGCCTTAGCCTTAAACCCAAAATAAGGAGATGCCGCAGCAAGGGAGAAAGTGGAGCAGTTTTTGGCTATGTGGACTGAAAGGGAAGTGGATCAAAGCCGCTATCTGGAGCTCCGCAAGTCAGATCTTGCAAAGGAACTGAGGTTCCACAAGGTATATACAGGGTTATAAAGGAGAGTAAGATTAAGGGTCCCTTCTAGGGGTCCCTCCTTATAGCCCCAAACCCATAGTCATCATCAAGCCACAGTTCGCCGTCGCACACAAGTTGCGGGCAGTCCTGCTGAAAGAATTGGAGAAAATGCCTCACTCTTTGCATGGCATGAGGACAAGAAGAAACTGCACCTCATCTTGAGGGTTTAGGGTTTAGGGTTTAGGGTTTAGGGTTTAGGGTTTAGGGTTTAGGGTAGCCTATAGACCCCAAAAACCCTAAACCCCAAACCCGAAGCCTTAAGGTTCGCAGCCCTGGGCCGGGCCATAGTCCGTCCCGGCCGTCCCGCAGCCCGAGGCCACGAGGTTCTTTCAGGGTTTAGGGTTTAGGGTTTAGGGTTAGGGTTTCGGGTTTAGGGTTTAGGGTGTAGGGTGTAGGGTGTAGGGTTTAGGGTTTAGGGTTTAGGGTTCGGGTTTAGGGCTTAGGGTTTAGGGGTCAGGGTTTAGGGTTAGGGTGCAGAAAGCTTGCGGGACAGGGGCGCTGCCTGGTCGTGCATCGCACCGGCTTAGTGTTCTCTCCCTAAACCCCAAACCCTGAACCCTGAACTCCCTAAGCCCTGAACCCTAAATGGACCAAAGACGCGACTCGCGCGCGCCCAAGCCCCGTTGCAACTGGTTGTGTTTGTTGTGGTCCCTGCTGTGTCTCACGGCTTTCAAGGGACAAAAGGAGGGACCCTCATAAGGGACCTCAAGGGATAGTTAGGGGTTATTTAGGGGCTACTTAGGTATATAGGGACGCTATAAGGCATGTATATCGCTTTTCGCTTTTCGGGCACCGAGTCGTGTAAGACAACGCAGCCTACGGAATGCAATTAATTAAGGCGGGGGGGGGGGGGGGGGTTACACAAGGCCCTCAAACCCTCAACCCTAAACCAATCTGTGTGGGAGCTAGAAGGGCAAACCCTGAACCCTAAACCCGAAACCCTAAATCCATTTCTTTGGGTTTCGGAGCTAGAATGGCCACCCCTAAGCCCTAAACCCATTTGCTAAACCCTAAACCCTTTTAGTTTGGGTTTCGGAGCTAGAATGGCAACCCCTAAGCCTTGAAAACCTAAGCGCAAAACCCTGATTAAGCCCTAAACCCTAAACCCTAAACCCTAAACCCTAAACCCTAAACCCTAAACCCTAAACCCTAAACCCTAAACCCTAAACCCTAAACCCTAAACCCTAAACCCTAAACCCTAAACCCTAAACCCCAGACCTACATCGACCAGGCCGGCGGCTGCCTGTGGCCCTGGCACCGACACCTGCGACCGGGACTCCCCTGGAGGCGGCACGGGGTTTAGGGTTTAGGGTTTAGGGTTTAGGGTTTTAGGGTTTGGGGTTTAGGGTTTAGGGTTCAGGGTTCAGGGTTCAGGGTTCAGGGTTTAGGGGGTTCAGGGCTTAGGGGGACTGAAAGAAATCCGAAACTCGAAGCATGAGATGCTCCGCTGCGGAGGAATATGCGTCCATGTTACCAGTGCATCCGTTGACCAGAGCATCCATTGCCCGAACCATGAGGTTTAGGGTTTAATTAGGGTTTAGGGTTTAGGGTTTAGGGTTTAGGTTTTAGGGTTTAGGGTTTAGGGTTTAGGGTTTAGGGTTTAGGTTTTAGGGTTTAGGGTTTAGGGTTTAGGGTTTAGGGTTGCTTTCTGTGTTCAGCCACGGAAACGCCTAAACCCCACTACAGGGGTCGGAATAATGGCTAATAGTATTCCTTTATGTTTTCTATTTTATAGTTATACTACTATACTCTCCCTGAAAACCCCAATCTAATTCTTAAGGCTCCTATATGAAGCCTGAGAAGGTTAATCGCATTAAGCTGCTCTGCAGACGATGTTTTTCTTTTGTGCCGGGGTGCAAGGTGCAAGAACTCCAAGCACTAATAGAAAAACTTGTATGTACGTATGTACATGTGCTATATATATATATATATGTATGCAGATGTGAATTGCAAGTACTGCTAGTTTTTTAGATGTCTATATGGTTATAATGGCTAGTGTTGATATTGTTGTTCTTCGCGCTACTAATGTTACTATTGCTAGGTTTGAGCGACTCGTTATAATTGCTGCTATTGTTGCTATTGTTCATACTGTCTTTGCTGTTAACATGCAATTGTTGCTATTGAATTGCTATTCTTATTGTTTTGCGTATAAGCACAAAATTTCAACTCTAGTCACAAATAACCATGACCTATACATCTATTCCACAAAGGTTGCAAGGTCCAACATCACGAGTCCTGCGCGCGCGCACGAGCGCGGATTTGTCGAGTACCGGAGACGTACTTCGCATGGTCTTGATATGGTCCCTTAGTTTCTTTAAAAGGGGCCCTTGGGCTGTATAGGGTATACAAGGGTTATGTAAGGGGTCTGGTTTTGAAGGGCCCATACGAAGGGACATGGTACTGTTTACAGAAACACATGCCTTTGCACACCGTAGCTGGTTTGTCCATGCGATTAGGCTCTGAAGAAGGGCTGTAGCTTGGGATGTTCCCCCTTATACGAACAGTTCCTTCATAGGGAATCGAATAGGGGGGGACTATGATCCCTATGAAGGACTGTTCGTAGAAGGGGGAACATCCCAAGCTGTAGCCCGTAAGCAGCTCTTGGCTTGTTTTGCAATTCCCAAACACCCCCCCTAGATGTTCCGAATGTTTGGGTCGTCTTGGTGCGCGCTAGGCCGCTAGGCCTTTCTGAATTTCTTGGAATGTTCTCCTGTTATCCTCGCCGTGTCCTCCCCAAAACGATCGCTGCCTCGACCCCTCCTGTGTCCATACCCAAATGGTCCTCACAAGCGCAACCCCCGATGGATCGCCTCAGCCTGTCAAGCCTCTTCTGAAGGGTGAGGCATGGTATGGCAAGAATCCCAACCCTAAACCCAAAACGTTGGGAAATTCTCCTTATTCTGACATCGTACTACAATCCCTATTCAGGACCGTTAGTATAAGCCAACCAAAACCCCCTAATCAGGGCGAACTGCGAGACAGGAACGAATGTTGGCTTAGGTCAATTTAGGGTTTAGGATTTAGGGTTTAGGGTTTAGAATTTCATAGCACTTCTTTCAAGTAAGCCCTTGGGATTGTGTGTGTGTTTTCCCTCTTTAGGAGGACCGTACATAGGAATATTGTCCGAAGGGTTTTAAGGGCCGTGCTAGTTTTCTCCCGCCACGCAAAGCACTGCAAAGTGGCATCACGAAATCATTCTCGTCGCATCCGTCGCCAAGGTCGGAGGCGTTGGAGTTAGGGACAGTGAGGGCTTGTGTACCAGGAGCCGATCTGTATGGTCTTGGCCTACGAAAAATAGGAACCAGAGTAGGCCCTCATTCCCTTGGTTTTGGGGCTTAGGTTCCCTTCTAAGCCCCTTCAGGCCCTAAACCCTAAACCCTAAACCCTAAACCCTTTTAATTCGTAAGTTACTCCTGGCTAGCATCTCGCCCAGTGCATTCTTGTCAGTCCCAGGTCCTGTGCTGCGCGAGGCCGCAGCAGCTGAGGCCCACAACCCTGAGCCCAGGGAGGGTTTAGGGTTTAGGGTTTAGGGTTTAGGGTTTAGGGTTTTGGCCTGAGTTCTGTTTCCTTTCCGTCCGATTCCTATGACATGGTAGCCCAGTGTCGAGGACCCGTTTACAAGCAAGGTAGCGCGCTTGAAAACGTGGATGTTGCAATCTTTGTGTCCCGCAAGTTTTCAGTCTTTCAGCGCTGACCTTATACAAGATCAACAGGCTGGTTCTTAGCAGGGAATGAGGGAATTAGGGCCCTATATATATATATATGTATATGTAACCGTATACCCTAAACCCTAAACCCGAACCCCCCTCTATATATATATATATATATATATGTAGGGCCCCAATTAATTCCCTCATTCCCTGCTACTAACCAGGGGACTAAAGCTCGGTATGTGGATGTCGGGTGTCGGAATCCCGAAGATCGGCGATCGAAACGTGGTTTAGGGTTTAGGGTTTACAGGGTTTAGGGTTTAGGGTTTATAGGGTTTGTAGGGTTTATAGGGTTTAGGGTTTAGAGTTTACGGTTTAGGGATTAGGGTTTAGGGCTGGCTCTGGGGTGTGTGAGCCTCTCTCGGCGACTTCCCAGATCAAGGCTCGGTATCGAACCCTAAGGCTCTCAGGCCTGCCATCTTTTGAGGGTTGTTGGGCCGAAGAATCGTTCAACGAGGCCTCAGCCTGATTGCATTGTGATACAGGCGCTTTTGTGCTCAAGCTTCTCAAAGCCATCCTGAAGCCTGAGCCCTTTTGCTCTTCCAACTTTCGCCAGAGCAATGACCAAGGCTGAGCAAAAGAAGGCAGTGCAGTTCACCCGCATGTGCAAATTCTGGCGAACGAACGAGTGCAAAATGGGCGCGGACTGCACGTTCGCCCACTCGACATCGGAGTTGCGCCCCAGCCCAAAGCCGTGCTTCGACTTCGTGAAGACCGGCTACTGCGCTCGGGGGCAGGCGTGCAGGTTTGTGCACCATGTGATCGAGAGTAAGGAGCCAAGATTCACAGACATGCAGCACTCGACCTTCCCGGCATTCCAGGCACAAGAAGATGCATTCCTTGCCACGTACATGATGCCGACATACCCCCAAAATGGTCCCATGAGTCCCATGAGTCCCATGCGCTTGGAAACAAAGCAGTTTGCCCCACCACGTACATTCTCTGGGCAACCGGTCCATTCGCGTGACCCAGGGCCAGCTGCCGTGTCCCCCCCAGGCCTGGACCAGATACCCTTGCCCATGGGCCTCATGAGTGACTTCGAGAACAGGGTGGACAAGCCGGCAAAGGCAGAATCACGCGGCTCCAGCCTAAGTGAAGATTCACTGGGTTTCTCAAGCACTGTTGAGCATGAGTTGGGGGCTTCTTCATGCTTCTTCTCACTACCATCCTTATCGGTTCTAAGACATAGTGCAAACCCCAAAACATCCCCGAAGCTTGAACCCCAAATCGCCCTAAGCATCCTTGAGCCGGATTCATGGACCACCGAGGTATGGATTACTTTCCTTTCTCCTTGACCAAGAACATGGCTATAAATGAGATGAAGCATGCTACAGGGAGATCGTCCCTGTGGCTATGTGGCTCGCCCGCGCTTTTCAGTGACTTTGAACGCCCAGACAGTATGTTCTGGGTGGTGTAGCCTAGACGAGCCCTGAACATTTGAAGAAAGTGCTCGGTACAGAAGGATCGACCGGCAGCACGCGCAGGCATGTTAGTGGTTTCAGGCGCACTAGACTTACACGAGGCCACCAACACTGGGTTTGGGGGTTGGGGTGTCGGTAGTGGGTGTCGGACTAGCTTGCCTGAACGCGTCTTGCTAGGAAGAGCAGTTTAACCACGCGAAGGCGTTGCTATGCCTCGCACAGATGCAGCCGTAACTGCAGCCAGTGTTGAGAGGAAGGTGCACTTAGGGTTTAGGGTTTAGGGTTTGGGGTTTAGGGTTTAGTGTCTAGGGCGTAGTCCTTCTAAGTCCGGTCCGGCTGATGGTTGTGCCGGAGGGGTATTCCGTGTTGCACCACACCCTCTCAGACTCCAATGTCAAGCATGGCCACGTCTCCTCACTCTCCTGTAACGTCAAGGGGAATGACCTCCCAGTTCACGGCCTTTGCTGATCGTTAGCCATAGAGCATGGGAAGAAGCGCACATCCGTCAGCAAGTCTTGGTGTTCAGTTCCATGCAATCAAAGGGTCGGAAATGGATGCCTTTTTTTTGAATGCCAGGCGACCTGAGTTCGTGCTGGTGTGCCTTGCCCTGTGTTTCAAAATCCCTGGTGCTACACGCTGCGGAGTCAGCCGCATTGGGGTGTTCGTTTGCTGTTCGGCCCTGCTTACCTGAGGAACAGTCGGGTGGGGCGATGGTGCTTGAACAGTGCCAGTGCACACCTCGCTAGTCGATGGTCACGTAGTGGTATGTTGAAGACATTTGGTTCCTAGTTTCTCGTCCAGAAGTCAGATTGCAGCAGGTTCCCGAGGGGGTGGGGGGGGGGGGGGGGAGAAGGGGGGGAGGGGGGGGCGGGCGGGGGGAAGGGGGGGGAAGGTGGGGGAGGCAGGGGGGAAGGAGAGTGGAGGTTTTGGGGGAATATGTTCATATTATTCGTGTTTGTAGGTTGCCTTTGAAAAGGGCGGTTTGGAGTTCTTAAGGCAAAAGATCTAAACCCATTGCTGTGATTCTGTAGACTTGCTTGGGTGCGTGGTGGTGCACTGGAGGCCTCGAAAGTTAAGTTCTTTCGAGCAGGAGCTGTGGTTCAGGAGTTAAGAATTTTAGGAATCACATGACGGGCTTTAACGGTTGTCAGGGTATTTGGTGATGAGCTCTCACAATGTCTTGCGCAGAGTTTTCTGCCTGTGGCGTTCAGAAGCGTAGACCACAGCTCCTTTGTGTGGGCAGCAGGGCGTGCGATAGATCTCGTAAGCCTCGGACGACGCCAAACTTCCGTGAAGGATCATGTCGTGCATCCCTTGGGCTAATTAGGGACATGATGCGGCGCCGCTTTCACCGGACAGACATCAGCTTGTGGGAAGTCGCGAAAGGATACAGCAACGATGCCCGCAGCCCGAAGCACGATCACATAGCTAAGCCCTAAACCCTAAACACTAGACCCTAAACCCGAAACCCCAAACCCTAAACCCTCTAGACCCTGTTCTCTCGCCATGAGAGGCACGTGCGGAGCTTGCTGCGGCCGTGGCTACACTCAGGGCCAAGAACCGGGCAAAGGCGAGTTCCTAAACTTCTGGGATGGTATGAGTAGGGTTTAGGGTTTAGGGTAGGGTGTAGGGTTTAGGGTTTAGGGTTTGGGGTTCAGGGTTTAGGGTTTAGGGTTGCATTTGCCAACCCTAAAGACTAACTTTGGGTTGAGGGGATGTTGGTGGCTCTGTGGGCAGCGCTTCGCGGTATGGCCCACCCGAAACCCCTATACCCTATATACCCTATACCCTATACCCTAAACCCTAAACCTTAAACCCTACTTAGGGTTTAGGGCTCTCTGTTTGCCCCTCGCCAGAACCCGAAGCCCCAAACCGTAAACCGCAAGAGCTGGCCGGCCGCGCATATGTATATAATATATATATATATATATATATGTACATATATATGTATATGTATATGTATATGTGTATGTGTATGTGTATGTGTATGTGTATGTGTATGTGTATGTGTATGTGTATGTGTATGTGTATGTGTATGTGTATGTGTATGTATGTATGTGTATATATATATACACAGGTTTTGTACATAATAGTATTGTTACCTATATATATATATACCCCAAGCCATAAACTAAACCCTATTTAACCCCAAAGCTAGAGACTGCGGCATGCAGGATGGTACATGGTACCGAAGGCGTTCAGAAAGGCTTAGGAACAGGTGTGCTTCTAAAGCTATGAGCTATGAGCCGCACGTGACTTCATCTTCTGGTCATGGTCTCATGTCGCAGACTGCTCAAGACGCAGTACTGAAGCAAAGATTGCTTTGCTCCTCCAATTGCCGCTAGAGCCATGACGAAGGCCGAGCAAAAGAAGGCAGTGCAGTTCACCCGCATGTGCAAATTCTGGCGAACGAACGAGTGCAAGATGGGCGCGGACTGCACGTTCGCCCACTCGACATCGGAGTTGCGCCCCAGCCCAAAGCCGTGCTTCGACTTCGTGAAGACCGGCTACTGCGTGCGGGGGCAAGGGTGCAGGTTTGTCCATGAGGCGTTCGAGATGAAGACAAAGTCCAAGTTGATGGGGATGCAGAACTCGACCTTCCCGGCAATCCAGGCACAAGCGGATCCATCTCCCTTCCTTGCCACTTACATGATGCCAACGTATACCTCTATGCATCCAATGAGCTTGGCAGAAGCACAGCAAGTTCCCGCGCCATATGCAGCCTATGAGAACTTGGCGCCCTCACACATGGACATGGACGCCAATGTCCTCGCCGGGCCACTTCTTCATGCACCACCCGTTGCGGAACAAATCCCTTTGCCGTTCAGCCTCATCGGCGGTTTGGGGAACAAAGGGACCAAGTCAACCCCGGGAGAATCCCATGGCTCTAGCTTAAGTGAGGCAGCACTGGGTTTCTCGGATGCTCTTAAGAGCATGTTGTGATGGTTTTTGCGTGGTTCCTGCTCAACGCCATCCTTCTAAGAGAGTTATAGCTTCAGTCTTTCTTTGCCCTTGCTCCAAGAGCTGCTTAAGGTACAGAGCACCTTCCTTTCTTCATGAGCAAGAGCTTGGCCCTTCCCGATCCCATGAGGTTCGGCACAGAGAGTGTGACATCTACCATGTGTCTCAGCGCAACACCCTCGCACTGGAGTGAGTTTGACCCGCCAGAGATTGAGCAGAGGCTGTGTGTCTAGTTGTCTGCCCTCCCCAGATCAGATGTTGCACAGTGCATCTGTAGGGTGCAGATCCACCCACGGCGAAGCTCTCAACGCACATAGGGTTTAGGGTTTAGGGTTTAGGGTTTAGGGTTTAGGGTTAGGGTTTAGGGTGGTTCGACATGGTGTTTGAATAATGCTCGCGGCATCACGATACAGACTGACCCAGTAGCGTGCCACGCATCGCTGCAGGTTGTTTCAGTTTAGGGTTTAGGGTTTTTAGGGTTTAGGGTTTCGGGTTTAGGGGCGCACCAACCATTCGACAGAGTGTTTCTTTGGTGTTTGGTCGGGTCTAGGGCATTGGCTTGCATCGGAGGTTTATCCTGAGGTTTGAGAAACCCTAAACCCTAAACCCTAAATAAACCCTAAACCCTAAACCCTAAGGGGCTTCTGGGCTGGATTTGTTTTTGGGCTGAGGGTTTAGTGAGCTATGGATGCCCCACCGTAGAGGTTTGGGGTTTAGGGTTTAGGGTTTAGGGATTAGGGTTTACGGTTTCGGGTTTCCCGTGTGTATTTAGGGTTCTCCTACAATACCCTCGGCTCGCTAAGCCATAAAAATGTTTTTTTTCAGGGGAACCTATATCACTTTCATGTGCAGCCCGTGGCACCTCAGTTTCACATGACACTGTTCAAGCTTGCTGAGCTCGTGAAGCCCTGAACCCTAAACCCTAAACCGTAGGGGCTCAAGGGCAAAAGCATCAAGTGAAGAAGTACGACTCCGAGGATCAATCGTAGCAGCTCCCCCATTAGCTTCGGCGCAGAGAAGTTCGCAAGCAATGCCGGCATTGTACGGCCAGGCGTAATGTCAGTCGCACAAGCCTCAGGTGGGGATTGTTTGGCTCCCCACCCCCCCACCCCCCACAGAAGGCACACGGAGTTTCGAGCAACCCCCCTAAGCCCTAAACCTTAAACCCTGAACCCTAGACCCTAGACCCTAGACCCTAGACCCTAGACCCTAAGACCCTAGACCCTAGACCCGAACATCCGCCCAGAACGTCTTTTTTTGTTACTCCTGAGAAAAATCCCCGGTGCTCGGCAGTGGCCGGCACTGGGGTGCGATGAGAATCCGAGCGGGCTCAAGGCCGAAGGGGTTTAGGGTTTGGGGTTTACAGAGCTTAGGGGTTTAGGGTTTAAGGCTTAGGGCTTCGGGGGTTTAGGGTTTAGGGCGAGGGTTCAGGGTTTAGGATTTACAGAGCTGAAGGGGTTTTGGTGTTTAGGGCTTAGGGCTTCGGGGGTTCGGGGTTTATGCGAACTGTCATGCGGGTACTGGATGAATTTAGGGATTGAGGGTTTAGGGCTTTGGGGTTCTAGTGCCTAGGGCTTAGGGTGTCCACGGTTTAGATCTTGAAGGGTTTAGGGTTTAGGGTTGCCCAAGCCCAACCGTCTGGAGTCGAGAACCTCAAGCCCTCAGCAAGATGTTAGGCCTAGGCGCAATTCTGGTAGGATGCCCAGTAGTACCCTGATTCCCGTTTTTGGGTAGGTTTAGGTTCCCTTATAAACCCCTTTAAGCAAAAAAGGGCACCCTTTTTCATCCTAGGTTACTGGGCAACCTAGTCAGGGATCCTTAGGCGGTACGCCCTCGGAAAAAAGGAAGAAAAGGAGTTGACTATTTGATTGATTGGCAGATTGAGTTGTGTTTCCGCTCAGACCTCCTTGCTGGTCGTTGCCGGCGTGGCTCAGGGTCGACCAGGGTGGGCCTGTTGTCCCTACAACCCCTTAAAACGGCGCCCGAATTTCAGGGTTGATGATGGGGAGTTTTAATGGCCCATCCTGACATAGGGCTTTAAAGCTCCTGCCTGAGATGAAGCAAGAAAACATTAAACCCGAAGCCCTAAACCCGAAACCCTAAACCCTGCACCCTAAACCCTAAGCCCTAAACCCTAAACCCTAAACCCTAAACCCTAAACCCTGAACCCTGAACCCTGAACCCTGAACCCTGAACCCTAAACCCTAAACCAAGCAAGGAAACATGAAACCCGAAGCCCGCGGCGACGGCTGTGTGGGACGGCTGCCCGGAACGCATCTCCATGGGCTCCGCGGAGCCGGGAGGGGCGCCTGTCGTCACGCACAGGCGCTCTTCCTTCGTAGCTGAGTTTTTAAGAGGTGTGTATATGTATATGAAGGAAAACATATATATATATATATATGGCCTTAAACCTTTCAAGAGGTATACATGTATGTATATGTGCATATACATATAGATATCTTCCTACCAGAATTGAAAGGTTAGCCTTGATTTTGTTGGTCCGACAGCTACTAGGCTTCCGATGGATCTGACCACGCACCCTTTGACAAATTGGGGTGTCGTGGAGTCAGCTGGCCGCCTCACGGACAGCAAACCAGATGCCAGGCAAATTAAAGTGGCGACAAAAGCGCTCACAGCCTCCTCATCACATAGGGCCATAATCTGTGTGACCATATTCTTATACTTATGTACTCATATACTTATGTTACGACTCTTATGGTACTACAATATGTTTAATGGTCTGGGCTCAGGGCTCTGGCACCTAAACCCCGAAACTCTGACATTTTGTGTTTATTCTGTTAATTCAAATGTTGTTCTTATTGTGATGTTGTTATATGTTCTATTGCTATATGGTTGTAGCGGTATGCCATTAGATTGTTATTTTGCTATACTGCTATATCGCTATATAACTGTACTATTCTTATGTTTTTTCAATGTAAGACTTACATTGACCCTATAAACCCTAAACCTAAACCGTATTTGGGCTCCGCTCTCTTTCTGTAGAGCTTCTCCCTTGGGAGCCTCAGCGCTCCTGCAACGAAGAGCTGCGGCGTCCAAGGCGGGCTGAAGTGGGGCGGGGGGGGGGGGGGTTTGAGGCTAGGTTTAGGGCTTTGGGGGGTGAGGGTTTGGGGTTAGGGTTTAGGGTTTTAGGGCTTGGGGTTCAGGGTTTTAGGGTTTTAGGGTTTGGGCTTGGGGTTTAGGGTTTACGTGAGGCTCAACTCATATCATGTCTCCCCTAAACCCTGCACTTTGGGGCCCTGCCATTGGAGCGTAAGGGCCCTAAACCCCTGTAAGGGGGTAGCCTTTGGATGATTGAGGGCGGGCCAGCTTGTGCTGGGGAGTTTGCAGGAAGTAGCCGAAGGTGCGCAACGGCTGTGCGAGAAGCACTGAAATGGGCTTCTTGACTAGTGAAAGCCAAATAATTATCAACCAAGCCCTAAACCCGAATCCGAAACTAACCCCTAAACCCCAACTTAAATTCCCCAAGCCCCAACTAAACGCCCAACCCTAGATCCTAAGCCCTCAACCCTCAAACCCGAAACCCTAAACCCTAAACCCTAGAAAACCGAATCACCAGACGCCAGAAGGCGACGATGGCGCCGTTGCTGA